CCGATGCTGACAGTGTGGGATGGGGGTGTGAAGAGAAGCTGAATCCTTGCAAAAGCTGACTGGAAGTGCTTGCTCTTAGTGGGAAGTCAGTGGAGGAGGAATTTGTGCCAACTTAAATGCTCTGTTACTGCAGGAGCACAAATGTCCCTTCCATCTATTTCCCAGCCCTTAATTTAGTGTATGTTTCTATGGTGTCGTGTTTTGAACTGTCAGGGAACTACAGTACCTACAGTAATATCTCCCCTTTTTGGAGGAGCTGGAGAGTCAGAAAGTGTTGAAAAAAATGAAGGATACTGAACACTGTAGTTTCAGCAGTAAAAAACAGAAAGGATTACATTTGCGAAGGAGAAGATTTTGTCCCCACCCGTTCCTGCTGCACTTTCTTTTGCCACTTTTCCCCCTTTTGCCAGTGGCAACTAGACACTTGGCCCCTAGCAATTGTGCACAAGTTCGCCTCTGTGCAGTCTCAGTTTGTCCTCCCCTTCATGGTTGAAAGTAACACAATTTCACATATTTCACAATTTCACATATCAGACACAATTTCACATATCAGACAGCCATAAACACACACTTGTGAAAAACAGACTGCCTTTCTGACCCCAATGCCCATTTTTATGCCCAAAAAGGAAAAGCTGAGGAACAAATAATGGTCCTTAGAGAGTGAGAGAGAGAGCACGAGAGAGAAAATGAATGTGTATTTGCAGTCACTGGTGGCAGGGGGCCTTTGCTGCTCTCGCTGGGCAGCTCTCAAGCTGTTCCCAACAACCTATGATAAAAACACCCTGCCAAAATAGCCCCAAACCAAGCCATGGCTTTTCAAGGTGGCTTGTTCATGAAAAATAAGCCATCTTGCAGAATCTGCTTCATGTTCAGGTTGCAGAAGAACCCACCAGGATGGGTTTTATTTATTTATTTTATTTAAAACATTTCTATGCCGCCCCATCGCAATAAGCCTTGGGGTTTTCATGTTGTGTGAACCAGGGTCAGAGAGTGCTGCATCTCAGAGGAAGCTTTTCCCCAGCTCTACTCAAGACAAGTGAACCCCAGGCCTTTTGGATGCCGAGCATAAGCTTGACACTTGCGCTGCAGCCTTTCCCCTAACCAGACTGTATTAGAAAAGTGACATGGAAGGAGGGCGTGGTGGGAGAAAAAAGAGGACTCACATGTTCTCCATCGAGAATGAGCTTCAGGATATCCTGGCGTTGCCTTTGTGTCTACCGGAATAAAGAGCAGAGAGTGAAACTGGTATACCTAGAACAGAAGGCTGAGAAATGCAGAGAGAGCACAGGCTACAGCAGCTTTACAGAAGCTAAGCAGGTCTAGGGCTGGTCAGGGCCTGAATGGGAGACCACCACCTTGGCCTCCATGATAGGGGAAAGCTTGTGTATTGTGTGTGTGTAAAAAATATGAGGTCTAGTGGAGCGGGGCAAAAGGTATTATTACACTGCATTTATGTCCTTTACCCCTCTTTTCTATGCCTTGTCTGGCCTTGTTCTAGTCACACAGCCCTAGTCTCGGTGTTCCTAACTTGTTCAAGTAGTTGTGTTCGAGCAATTTGTGTGCAGCTCTGCTGACCAATTTTAGAATTCCAGATTTGAGTCACTCAGATACAGTGTTGTCCATGCAGCTCATCCCAGTCTATTTGGCTCTTGAGATAATTTGCTCCATTCCCTGAAACAACTTTTTCCATCTAGTTCCTCTTCACCCATATCCTGCCACTCTTTCATACCTGGTTCTTCTTAGTAGATCTTGGGCTTCTAATTGGACCCCCCGCCCCCAGCTTTGAATCTCCCCATGTCTGTGATATATGTCTACCCAGATAGTAGTTCCATTCAATTTAATGAGACTTGTGTAATGTGATTGAGGCCCAAGAGGCTTAATGTACAGCGGTTCTATCACCCAGCATGAGTACAAAGAATTCACATTAATTTAAATACATTCTTTTTATTTGAACACTGCATGCCCTTTCCTTCAGTTACACTCCCAGGACAACTAAACACTGCTTTAATTGTCTGATTTCTAACGTTTGAGTTTAATGTTTCAAAAACCTAGTGAGGAGATACCTGCTTGAGCTATAAGACCATTTATTTTTCAGAAGCCACAGAATTCTATCCCATAGATTATTTTACTGAGGCTGGAACAATTTGTTCAAAACATCTTGAAGGAAACGCTAAATGTAATTGTTTAACGCTAAATGCCAAAGTTGTTTAGTTTCTTAAATTAGATAAAACATAAAAAGACGTATAAATAGCACATTAACATACAGAGGTTAAAACAAATTGCATTTAAACATCCCTGAAAACTTCTGATTAATGCTAGTACTAACATTTAAAGCCCTATATGGCTTGGGGCTAGATTATCTAAAGAATCACCTCCTCCTATATGTACCAACCTGGTCCCTGAAGTCATTTTCCGGGGTCCTTCTCTGGGAGTCTCTTCCAAAGGAAGTGAGACAAATGGCTAGCTGGAGGAAGGCCTTTTTGGTTGTGGCACCTTGGTTTTGGAATGAACTCCCCAAGGAGAATACTTTGTATTCCATTTAAACTTCATTTTTAGACATTCCATTTTATTCTGTACTGCAGCTATGCTTCTTTGCTGAATCACAGCAATTGCTATGATGGTTTTATTCTTTTAAATGTGTGTGTGTGTTTAACGTTTATTTAAATTTTAACTTTTGTTAACTGCCCAGAGAGCCTCAGCTCTTGGGCCGTATAAAAATGAAACTAATTAATTAATTTTTTGAAATGGCTGCTTCTAAAAGCTTGCAAGCTGGGGCAGTGAAACTATCCCAAGAAGGGTATCCCATAGATCTTGGACCACAAGCAAAAAGGCTTCGCAACATTCCCCCAACAACCCTGATATGTCATGACAATCTTAAAAAACAGGTTGAAATGGAATTCTTTATTGAGAGGTTATTCCTGTGCCTGCGGCAGTTATTGCTTGATGCCACCATCCCTGGTACCTTGACAAATCCAATAATGGCCTCGTTGGATCAGGGCACTGAAAGCCCACCTTATTCAGCATGTCCTGCTGGTGGATGGGCCACTGGTGGGCCACTGTGTGGACAGAATGCTGCATTCGGTAGGCCTTTGAACTGATCCAGTAAGGTTCCTTGTTGGTACTTAATATATTTACTTTCTGGCTATCCTTCAATTATTTATTTATTGCATTTTTAAAATATCACCCTATAGCTCTACAGCACCCTCTGAGCAGTGACCATGTACAGTTTAAAACATGGAGCAGTAAAATATATAATAGAACTTGGCAGAACTCAGATATCCTTGTTTCCCCTTCCCCCTCCACAGACAAAGCCTGGGATCTGAAGGGCACTGAACAGGCGATGCCCATTTTCTATTATTTAAATTATTTTTTTGGTGTCTTAGCTCCCCTTGCCATAAAATGTTTCTCTCAGGTCTACTGGGAAAACAGGTAGTTTGGCTGACAATGGGTCTTGCAAGCTCAGTATTGATCTGAAGAACTTACTGTACAATAGAACAGTGGACACAGAGCAAATACCAGCAAGCTCTGTGGAAGGCAAGGCAAGGTTTACTTACAGGGAGATTGATCTGGAACGTAGTGGGCATTCTTCTCAGGATGGCTGGATCCACATCTTGAGGCCTGTTGGTTGCTCCTAGCACCATTACCTGCAGCACAACAAAAGTGGACCATAATAATTGTTTTGAACTTAGATTTTAGTTGCTCAAGTAAATCTGCTGTAGGTCTGCATGAGAATTTTAAAAGAAATTTACTATTTTATTAGTGCTTTTAAAAAAAGAATACTGTATATGAAAATATACTTGGTAATGTTGGAGCTCTGATGTCTTCATGGGAGAATGTACACACCCTGCACTGGGTGGAGGAGAATAGGAAGGTACACCAGCCAGGAATGGGTGCACTAATATTCCTGCAATTCATTCCAGGGGGAAGGAAATCATATCAAATAAAGAAAGCCCTGGAATGGGAAAAGCAAGGAGGGCAGATACCAGGATTTGGAATTTTTGGAGCTGCTGACGTTGGAGTTTCCCCCCAGATTGTTCTACTAATCTGTGGGGTTTTTGTTGTGTTAGGAAAGGAAAACGTAACACTGGCTCCAGTCTTCTTGAATGTCCATGGGCAAAGTAATGTCATTGGCCTTCTTTCCCTCCCTCCCCACTGCTCTTCTCCCACATCGTGCTCCTCGTTGTGGCTGCCGCTTGGTTGCTCAACAGGCAGGCAGGGCACCTGGGACACGATCATCTCACCTCACCACCACCTTTGTCTGGGCCAGGTGAGGTGCACCTTGCACAGAGAAGAGGCAGAGCAAATCCAGGAGGCTCTCATCAGTAGGAACTTCCTGAGCAAACGCCCCACTATGCCTGCTCTTAACACGAAGCCAAGAAAGATGCTTCTTTTAAAATCTGTTCCACCTGCTGAGCTTGTGATCCCTGTGATGTGGTACCTGGCAATTGGGTCCAGTCTCCAGCCCATCCCAAAGGCTCATGAACTCTGCTTTCATCATAGCAGTAGCCTCGTGGTCAGTCTCCGAGCGGTTCCTCAGGAAGGCATCTGCCAGGAGAGAGAAAAGCACCTTCTGCAAAAGGGCTGCTGCCCTCCCCTGCTGGATGCTGTCTTGTCTTGATTTCCAGCCCCAGAACTATATCTTGGCAACATGTTGTTTTCTTTAGACCTTGTTAAAATTCATGAGGACATGCAGCCTGATTCTTCCAAAATTTTAGTGTTTTCCGTACTAAGGTAGTACACACCTGCAAACCTATCCACCTCCTCTTCCTCTTGAACTGCATCATTGGCATGGGCAGTGAACGTGCCACAAGTGAGAGAGAGAGAGAGGAAGGTCATTCATCTTAGGGTAACAAGCCACCTTCATTGTGAGATGGATTCTGCTCTGGAACTCCATGGACAAAAGTCACTGCTTTGCCCTGCTTTGGGATCTATCCTTCATAAATAGGTCTGCAAGCAAGATCTCTGATTTTTTTTAACAGCAACCATTCTTCTACCTACAGAAAGTGGCTAAGGCTGCCCGATTTGAGAAGTTTGCAACTCATTGGTCAAGAATGGACATCACTGTAGAAAGGTGAACAACAAGAAGCATATCTTTTTTCCCACTTTGCATAGTTACTCCAAGCATTTAACAGGCATTAAGCAAGTTTTTCAGTAAGATCCCAGGATCTTGTGGCTTCTTGTAAATACATCCTCCTCAGATTAAGTAGGTAGGAGACAGAGTTTGTTTTCTTAGTTTCAGCTTTGAACTTGTGCTTAGATTAATGTATTCCCTCCTCAAAGCAACATATTTACAAATATTGACTAATTTATTAAATCTATTATCTAATTTATCTCTGATGTTCACCATGTTAAGTTTTCTAAGCAGCAGCATGTCTTAGTGCACATTTAGAGGAAATATTTAGAAGAAATATTTGTGCTGGAAAAATTATGGATAAATGTGATCTCTTGGTGACTGTGACATGAGAGCCAGGTTTGTGGTGTTTGACTGTGAGAAACAGACACCACCACCCAAGTTTTTATGATAACTCTTCATTGAGGTTAATCACACCTCAAATTTTTAAAAGAAAGAATAACTTTTCTTGACAAAGGTCTGAACTCATCACAAGCCAGAGGGCTTTTGAAATTCATCCAAGGCTGCTGGTAGCCCAGCTCTGGCTTAGATACCTTTTAAGAAAGGACAAGCACATGCCTTGGAAGCTTTTCTAGCAGTTACGATATACACTAGCTACAAAGAATGACCATTTCCAAAGGCTGAATACATCTGGAAATCAGATGTTGTGGATATAGAAAAGGGAACATTATCACCTTTATACTTCCACAGATGTAGTCATTTCTCAGTGCAATTTTCTACATATATGCCCACTCAATAGTAAGCCCATGGAGTTCAGTGAAACTTGCTTCCAGGACCTTGGCTAAGAATGCTTTCTGTTGCCACAAGCATGACAGAGCCCTGTACCAGCTTAAAGAATAACACATACATCGTGGCATAAACTTTGTGGACCAGATTATCTTCAGTCAGTTTTAGGGTACTTCTAGAAGCATTAGGGTGGTGGTCACTGGAAGAAGCATCACTGGAGTAGATAGGTCTGGAGTATCTTATCTACACTACACTATGCCGGAGACTGTCTACACTCGAGTAGATAGATGGGGGGAGGACAGAATGTTCAGCTGTCATTTAGTAGGATTGATAATCATATTCCTGTGTAGACATGAAATAGATACCATGGTGTTCTTCCCCTCTGCCCCCACCAAGGGTACCTGCTTGCACAGTTGGAGACACTAAGGACTTTCTTCATTGGTGCCTGAGAAGTTTGAAGGATTATGTCACAATGTAAGCCTTTCTCCTAGGTTGGGGAGCTAATGCCACTTGCTAGCTGATGGAGAGGCAATGAAAGGGAAATTGAGGAAGGAGAGGGGAAACTTTTAAAACCTGCCTGTTTTGGACAAACTGCTAGTTTTGAAGCCAGTGAGACTTTAAATTGGAGAGGAATGACACTGTGGTTTCATTCCTTGATTATTTTTCTTTTAAATATATTATTTGTATAAAAGATGCTATTGTATGCTTTTAAGTAAGAAAAGAGCAGAAGTAAAAGACTAGAACTCATTCTCTTCTTATAAGTCAATCCCTCAGTATATGTGTAATTGATTTCTAAAGAGAAAGTCTAATCTTTTCTAAGGTTTGGAAATAGGCTCATTCAGCTTGCTGATACATCTCTGCTCAGAATTAATCAGGTACAGGATGCAGCCCAAAATGACAGGATCTAAGAGAAATTACCTATTTCATCTATGAAAATGATGCAGGGTTGGATCTTCGTTGCCAATGAGAAAACTGCAGCTGTGAGCTTCTGGGACTCTCCGTACCATTTATCAGTCAGGGTAGATGCCTGCAGGTTTATAAACTTGCATCCTGAGGCCTGGGCTGTTGCTTTCGCAAGAAGGGTTTTGCCACAGCCCGGAGGACCATAAAGTAGGACACCTGGTGAAGAAGCAAACTCTGAAAGTATCGGCTCACACTTTACCCTTTCTTCTATGGAAGGGCCAGCTCCTGGTTTCTGAGGATGCTTGGGCAAGCTGTCCTCTGTGGGCTGCCTGCCCCAGCAAACCCACCCTCTCCCCACCTTGGTCGCCAGTGACTGTTGCTCTTCATCTTTCTCTTCACTGCCATCATTTACTGCCTGGCAGGCATAGCGCCAGGGAGCAAGAAGGTAGCATCAGCTGTGGCAGCTCCCCACAACTCTGTTGTCTAGGCCAGAGGCAAGTGTGCAAGTGTGTTGCAGCAGGGAAGTGAATGCAAGGGTCCACATGGAAGTAAAGGGAGAGAAAGTAAAGAACAATTCTTTTTTTCACTTGGTGAATTGTTCTTTTTGTTTCTACCCAACTGGGAATAATAAATTTCTCAAATAGCCAGCAATTTTCTAAGCAGTCATTGGGAAAGGAACTGGCCCTTTGACCATAACTTTTCCCTGGGATCTAGGATCTGACTAATGAGTGGAAGAGCAAAACATGAAACATAAAGAGCAGAGTCCTCCAGAAGTCTGAACAGGTAGTGGTCTGTGAGCGGAACGGCACCCTTGTTCCAACATGTACCTTTGGGTGGCTGGCAGAGCCGAGAGTGCTGAAACAAACGCCTCTGCTGAAAGGGCAGGATGACTGTGTCCTGGAGCTCACTGACCAGCTCATCCAGGCCTGCAATGTCCTTCCAAGTGACCTGTGGGTGGGGCAAACTTTGAAGACTTTGGAGAGGGCAAAGACGTCCTGAGCTATCTGACCGAAGGGGCAAAACTCCAAAATGCACATCTCAGCTTCCAGGTTTTGAAATAGGGGTGTCATTGCATTTGCACTTACTGGTGTGGGCAGTAGTGTACTCAGGGCAAGGGTGTTACATTGTTGTTACTTGCGCACACAGATTTCCAATTATGAATATTTGACACTGGTGTACACATCTCATTCTAAAATGCAGATATTTGCAGTCCTGTTTTCTTGCATCAGATAAGATTGCTTGTAGCCTTATCCTAACTGGAAACTCTTTCTGGCAGGGGCCACATTCCCACAGGGGTAATGGGGGTGGATGAATCTGGTGGTAGTGAGAGGAGCTGAAGTGAGCGCTGAGTGGGGCAAAAGCGGGCAGGACCCTGCCCCTTTCAGTTCTCTTCCGAGCATCCCTGTTCCTCTGTCTCCACTTCCTCTCTTCATCCCTCACCACCTGCTGATCCCTCTTGCCAGAAATCTAAACTGCTTGCAGGGGGCTTTTGAAACAAGATGGAGGGGCGGTAGCTTGTCTGCCCCACTCTACACTTTGTCCAACACAGTAGCAGCTTCTTCACCTGACCTTTATATCCTTTGGAACCACCAAGTTAGCTGCAATGTTCATCTCATGCTCGGTCAGCTTCACCCCTTCCATGCCAATCTGCTTCATCAAGCGCTCTGCCTGTCAACAGAAAAAAGGATCAAAACTCCAATGCAGCCCATGCACGTGCTAAACCTGAACTTTAGCTATTTGTTCATGTATTTCTTTATTATCTTCATAGCCCACTTTTTTCCTGCAAAGAACCCAAGGCAGCTTAAATAATCTTCTCCATTTTATCCTCTCAACAGCCCTCCTGCTCCCGTTGTCATCAGGAGAAGAGAGAAGGGCTCGTCGTCCTTCTGCCACCACTGTTAGCATGGGGAGGGGGAGAAGAGGAAATAGTGGTGGGAGGGCTTGCTTGCTTCGTGGGATTCCAGTGTTACAGTCCAGCAGGTGACTGGAAATGGCTTCTGTTCATACACCCCCGTACATGGTTGGTATGGCCCTTGCATATACCTTTTTCTTCAACTGCATCCTTTGCTTCCGGGTGGGGTCCAGGGCATCTGATACCCACTTTATACTGAAGTAAGTGGCGGTTCCAAAGATGGTCAAGCGGAACAGGATGGCGAACACTTCCTTCCGGGTCAGCGGGCGGGTCAGGAGGTCCTTGGTCAGCTCCACCAGCAGCATCTCCTCAGCCTTCCTTACTGCCTGGCAGGAATCTGAATGACATTTTAAAAGTGGGGGATGGCAAGACGTTGGATTACAACGAATTCAAGAGGAACCATTTAGCACAAAGCTGTCCAGATAAGGAAGAAGGACACAATTCAGCCCAGGTGCTGGAGAACTGGAGCAATATAGCAGAACTTTTGAAGAAGATACCACTTTGCAATTGTACCTTCTGCCACAAGCACCTCAGGAAGGGCTGTAACTTGGTGAGATACGAAAACATCACCATCACTACTGCATTACATTGATACCTTGCCTTTCTTCCTCTTGCAAGAAATCCAGGGCAGCTTACCAGGTTGTTGTCCTTCCCTTTTTATCCTCACAACAACCCTGTGAGGTAGGTTAGACTGAAAGCCTGTGACTGGCTCAAAGTCATGCAGTGAGCTTCATGGCTGAGCAGCACTTAGAACCCAGATCTCATGTGTCATCATAATCAATACTTTGTTGAGACAGCCCAATGTAAGTGCAAGATCACACCAGCTCTGCTAATTTCCCCCCTCCCGCCTATCTCCTGCTGAGAGCACTGGAGTGCTTCAGAGGTTGGCCAAGAGGAGAGAGACCCGGGTTCAAGTTCTCTCTCAGCCATGAGACTCACTAAGTGATTTTGGGCAGGTCACAGCCTCTCAACCCAACTTACCTTACAGGGTTGTTGTTTCAAGGAAAACATTGAGAGGAGGATGAGAACAATGTAAGCCACCTTGAGTTCCTTGGAAGGAAAAAAGCTGGGTGGTTGTGAGAATAAAATGGAGCTAAGCAAACTGCCTTGGGTCCTTCCAAGAGGGGAAAAAGTGAGATACACATGCAATGCAGTAATAACAAAAATAAATCAGACAACAGCACTAGCAGGGGAATATTTAGCCCTTTCCTGCCCTGCCATTTTCCCGAAGAATCCTCCACCTCGGGAGTTATTTCACTTGCAGCATCCACCCATCTCCTTCACATACACCGCGCCCCATGTGCCACTAGGACAGGAGAAAGTCATTCAGCTTAGGGCATAGGGCGCTGCCTCCTTATTGATGTATTTTTTAATTTAAGCCTTTTCTAGATAACCCCTGTAGATAACCTTTCTTCCTAGAGGAGTGGGAATCCACCTTGTCCCGACTCCAGAGGTGTTGAGAGGAACTACACCTCCCAACCTGCTAGCTACAGAAAGGGTAACATAAGACGGGGGGGGGGCACTGATTTGCATATGCTTTTACATATGCTTTGAAGTAGCGCCGTGCGCGTGTCTCGAAAGAAGCCTTTCTCCCAAGGGCAGCCCTGTTTGGGGAAAGGGATGCACTGCAAGGGGAGGGAAGAACTTTGCATTTCAGAAAAGCACCCCGCGCAAGGAGGTTCGGGGAGGGGACAGGAGAAGGGGAAGCAGCCGGGGCGGACAGCCAGCTCGTCCGGGAGGCTCCAAGGAAAGACTGGGCGCCCCATCGCTAGTGGGTCGGCGCTCACTCTGCCCCTGGTGGGGATGCTGGGAGCCGTAGTTCAGCGCCTCTGGCAGGAAAAGGCCCGCGAGCCGGCCTGCGTAGTGCTGATCGTGGTGCTGAACGCTCGGCCGTCCCCAAAGCGGCGGCGGAGGCGGAGGCGGCGCCACCCGCAGGCCGGAGGAGAGGAGGGGCCGCTCCGAGACTCACCCGCTCGCCGCCCCGGTCTCCAGCCGACAATGCTCCCCGCGCAGGAACAAGGGCCGCGGCGAAACCTTTCCGCCGTGCGCCCTCCGGGCTTGCGTTGCGCCCGCGGACCCCGAAGTCGGGGCGCGGTTCCCCGCGAGCGGCGCGCCTGCCCAGGTCAGGGCGGGCGTTTTGCTATCGCATCCTCACGAAACGCATTCAAAAGGGCGTGCGGCGGGGGGGGGGGGGGGGGGGGGGGGGGGGAGGCTGGTTTGAGAGCGCTCAGCCAGCCTGCAGGTCGCAACGCTTCACTGTGGACAGAGCAGGGTCCAAGGTGGGGCGTCTCTGCATTAGCCTGGTGGCTTCCGTACTCACAGACTCATGGAAGAGCAGAGTTGGAAGGGGCCAGAAGGCCATCGGCCCCATCCCTTGCTCAGCGCAGGACCCCCAGTTCAAGCACCGCTCGGATGTTCAGCTGCATCACGGATGCCTCACTGTCATACTGCCCTAAGAGCGAGGAAGTTCTTCCCGATATCTAGCCAACATCTGGCTTCCTGTCGCTTGAGCCTGTTATTCCATGCCCTGCACCCTGGGATGATAGACAAGCCTTCCTCTGTGACAGCCCTTCAAGAGGGCTACCCTCTCTCCCCACAGCCCTCTAGGCCCAGTTCTTTCAGTCCCTCCTCACAAGGCTTTGTTTCCAGTCCACAGATCATCGTTGCCCTCCTCTGACCCCTTTCCAGCTTGTCTGCATCTTTCTTAAACTGTGGTGCTCAGAAGTGGACACAGGACTCCAAATGAGGCCAAACCAGGGCTGAGTAACGGGGACCTAGCACTTCATGGGATTTGGAAGGGATACTTCTGTTCATGCAGCCCAAAATAGCAGTTGCCCTTTTTGCAGCCACATCGCATGGTTGAATCGTGTTCAGTCTGTGATCCACAGCAATTCCAAGATCTTCTCAGTTGCAGTACCGTTGAGCCAGGTATGTCCCATCTAGTAGGAATACCAAAGTTATTGTTGCCGTTTGCAATAAAATGAACATCCTTTCAAGCTTCTCAGTTTCTTATATTCCCTCTGCACTTTAATTCTCTCATTTGCTGTCTCTGTCTGTGAATATGACATGATTACTCTATCAGTTTTATTCAGCAATGAAGGTATGAGAGATATCAGGGTAGAATCTGTAGAATAAGCCAGCCATCCTTTAATCGTACAGGTGAACCCCATTTTGATGGTGGGGGCACACATTTTAATGTTATTTATTCTTAATATTTATATATTGCATTTTTGCGCATACACACATAAGAGGCTTACAATATTGAAAATAAAGCAGCATTGTAATAGCAACTACAGTCCATTATACCCAGCAGTTGACAAAACAACAGTAACACTTTTGAGCAGAATCCATTTAAAGGGCCCTGTGATATAAAAGTTATCTGTGCACATTTCAAAGTGGGCAACGCTGAGGCCAGGCACGCCTCTCTGGAGAAGCTGTTCCATCATTTGGGCCCCAGAACCTAAAGGGCCTTTTCACTCATTCTCTCTAGCCACATCTCCATCAGTCCAGGACAACATGGACCTTAGAAGTGGAACAAAGTTCTCAATTAACTTCGTATGGAAAGTGGTGATTCCAAAGGGAGCCATGCTGTTAAGAACAACAGTCAAAGGACAGGAACAGGAGACAGACTACAATGCCTATCATACTGGTGATGCTGGAAGATGTAATACCATTGTAGAACTATCTGGAGGGTGTGAAGGCTTTCCCAGATCCAAATTAAATTTCAAATAGAGGGTGGTGTTTAAGCATAACTGCTATGGTTATTCGGTAGTAAAAAAGAGGGGTTTGCATGTCCTCAAAGGCATTATTATTATTTTCCATGTTCTGGAGTCCACAACTGAGTCTTTACGGGAAAACAGTAATTCATTAATCTCTGCCCGATCAGCTCTTGTTACAAAGCGTATGAGCATTAAAACAAAATGGAACTTAATAGAAAGCTAGAATTGTCATCTCCCTCTTCTAGAGTGAAGTTCAACAGGGTACTACCCATCACGGCACCTCTGCAATATTCAGTCACCGTTGCAAATTGAAATGATCTTGTTCACAAGCGTGCACTTAGTGCATGGCGGCAGGAGCATGCTGGGAGTTGCGTTCTTCTGTCTAACCTTACATAGGATTGCACCTTTAAGGCACAGTCTTATGCATGTTTACACAAGCGAAAAGCCCTGCAATTTCCAGCATTTCCTGCCAGGGTGGCTGCAGAAATGCTAGAAATATAGTAGGGCATTTTTCTATCTAATGAAGGCCTAGAATTGCGCCCTTAACTATACCATCAGCTACTTTGCCAAATTAACCTGCCTCATCCGCGTATCATCGTGCGGAATCAGGATGGTCATTTAATGCCTGTTTTCAGCATTTCTATAAATCCCTACTTGAACACACTAGGATGACTCTAAACAATCACAGGGTGTCCGAGGCATGCTGGGAGTTGTGCGGTTTTTCCCATCTAATCCTGCGTCGACTGTGGCACGGTAAACCTTTCTTCTATGAGTTAAACCCCACTCATAAATTGCGCAAAATAATTCAAATATTGCCGTCCACTTTAAGGCTTATTTTAACCTCAGCCTTAAATTAGGCCACGCCCTGCGAGCACAGCTCCTCATTCGACCTCCGTTACGGAGTGTGCCATCAATGAGTGAGCGTGGAAGAATAAGCCAGGGCACTAATCGCGCTTCATCCCTCTTAATGAAAGGAAACAGTAAGTCTTGCGCAGTTGGGGGGGGGGTTGCTTTCCGTAAGCACGCCCCCCCCGCGCTCTGTGTCACTTGGACGGCTCCTAAAGGGCGGGCAGAGAATTCTTCCTCCACCAATGGGAGGCGCGGCCGCGTTAAGTGACTGAGGGGCGCGGCGGCGGCGGCGGGCGGAGGTGTGAGGGCGCGGTTCGCGCGCGCCTGCGAGGCCTGCGGGACGCGTCCCCGCGCGCGCGGGAGCAACTGGCGGAGTGCGCTGGGCACGCCGGGCCTCCCCGAAGGCGCAGCCCTGCACGGGCTGGAGCGGGGCCGCGCCCGGCGTTGGTTGGTTTTCATCAAGTCGCTCAGGGCGCGGGCCTCCGCCGGCGCATGCGGGAGGAATGCCGCCAGAGGTCGCGGGGGCCGTTTCCAGCAGGCGGGGGTGGGATTGCAGCCGGAGGGAGGGGGCCGTTCGGTTCCTTGGGGGGGGGGGCGACCTGCGTTCACCGTGAGAAGCGAGGCGTGAGAGGAAGGACTAGCTGTGCAGGAATTCAGCCTTTATTCTCCCCCGATTACGGTTCCCAGGGTGTATTTATTATATTCGTAGCATGCTTTTCCCCCACGATGAACGCAGAGCGGCTTGCGGCTCTTAGTCTTGCCTCCGCGACAACCCCCCTGTGAGGCAGGCTGGGCTGAGGGACGGCGGCTGGCCCAGAGGCACCCAGTTGGCTCCGCGGGGACTGGAGCCCAGATGGCCTGGCGTCTTCGCCACCGCACCACCGTGCTTACCCATATTGTTGGGCTGTGAACTGGCTCTGTGGCGCTTGTTTTCTCCCCCTTCGTGCTGGTCATGAACTGCCTGCTCTGAACCTGGCTGAGGTGGTTGGCAGGGCAGCTTGAAACCCGTGGCTTGTGCCAGGGGTGCCGGGGAAGTTTGCAACATTCCCCCCTCTAGCTACCCCCCCCCCCGCTGGGTTGAAGGGTAATAATTTCCAGTAAGGGGGATTGAGCTAATCCAGAGGCACAGGTGGGAAGAGAAAGCAAGCCATAATGGCTTGCTTTTCTCTCCATGATCATGTCAGTATATTGATCTGGTATGTAAACCTCATATAAGAGGTGTAATATGGCTGTAATATGTAAGAGGTGTAATATGTGATATGTCTGTACAGTAGAAATACACTTTTGAGGGCATTGGTGGGGAATTGCATGGCTGCTGTGAAAGAGGCGAACTCCATGCTAAGCATAATAGGGAAAATGAAATCTGTGGCATGCTGCTCCTGTATTAGTTTGACTGTGCGTAGAGTATTATGTGCAATTCTGATCACTGCCCCTAAAAATGGTATTGTGGAGCTGGAGAAAGTGTGGAAAAGGGCAGCTAAAATGAACAAGGGGCTGTAGCAACTCACCTATGAGGAACAATTACCTCAGCTGAGATTATTCAAATTAGGGGGAAAAAGCAAGTAAGGGGAGGCATGATAGAAGTCTATGTATTTATGCATAGGGTGGAGAGGACATTTTTCTCACTCTCCCATGGTACGTGCATAATATAAGGATCCTGTGGACAGCTGGTTTGCCAATGTGTGCTGGACTAGATGGACCCTTGTGCTGATCTAACATGACGTTTCTTGGGGTCTTTTGCCGGTTTTGCAATCCTGGTTCAGAGGAGGGGGGAAGGTGGCTGGAGAGGCTTCACGATAGCTTTTTTGGTATGCTGTTCCAGGTGCCTTTTCATCAAATGAGTGAGATAAAACCTCTAAAATAACAAGCTGATGAGAAGTGGGGTTGTTAGCCTTGATTCATGATCCCAGTTGGTGTGCTGTGTGAAACTGTAGCCACATTTGGCCATTGTTTTGCCAAGTCAGTTGAATTTAGAAACTTGGAAGTATTGAAGCCATAGCAGGCTTTCATGCTCACACCTATTTTTAATAGCATAATTGGTATTTTTTACCTCAGAATCATTCTGTCTTACAGTCTTTGCTTTTCATTGCAGTGGCTTTCCCAAAAGAATTTTTGGAATTGGTTGTGTGAGAGAGGGCAGAGAATTCTCCATGGGAGAATTTAGTTAAGTTTTCAAGGAAATACCTTCTATTCAAGCTGCAGGTTATTCTTTAGTATATGTCTCTGAAGTGTGTATTTTCTCTCAAGCAGTATCATGCATCCCACAAGACTTCCATTTCGAGGTGGTGCTTCTTGCCATGTGTCTTGTGGTGGACCAGGGCCTGAGGATCAGCCACAGCTGCCTGTGGCCAAAGATGCTGCATTCAGTAGGGGACAGTCCTTTCCTTCAGCTGGCAGGATGCAAGGAGTACAGGAGATGGTTCAGCAACCTCCAGGACTTGGGCAGAGGGTAAATATGTGACTGCTATTAGATCATTCTGCTGGGCAGTAGGTGAATACCGGCTGGCTTTTATTGAGGCACCACATTTCAACTCCGGGTTGCATGCTGTGTGCCAAGTACAAGCTGCAGTGCAGTTGTTCTCACTCCTCTTGGCCAGTCCTTCCCAAGGAGCCAGGGAGACTGGGTTTGTTTTATACTTGGTGGTGACAGCTGATACCAGTTGGCACTTCTGCACCAGACCTTGCATGCTCAGATGCGGACTAATGGTGTTACTGCTCAGGCCAGATGGGAAACAGCATAGAAGATCTTTGCAACTTAAAAAGAGACAGAGTACTTATGCTGCGGAGTCTTCTTCCTTTGCAAAATTCTGTTCAGCTTTCAGTAATATATTGCTGTTACTGGCAATTGCTCCATTTGGTTTTAAGCTTAACCAGTACTTTGAAATGCATTGAGTAAAAGGTCTGTCCTGTATTCTGCTTTAGGATTCTTCCATCTCTGCTCCAACTCTGTCTTTCATGTTTCGGGGACTGGGTTTTGAGACAGCCCCTAGGCTTCCTTCAGGTAAGTTATCTCTGTCCTGTGAGAGCTTCCTTTTTATGTTTTGATGATATTTTTCTTTGTGTAGTATTTAACCATCTAAGAAGAGCTTACGTTTTATCTTGACTTCATTTGAAAGCTCTCTATCTGGGTCGAGGCATAGTGGGCAGAGGAATGGGTGACATAGCTATCAAGCCCAGAGTGGACTTACCTGCACAGCATATGCACACAGACTTAAAAACAGGGCCAGCTGGAGATATGAAGGTGGAGAAGACACTTCTGGGACGTGGCAGGTGAGTTAAACAATCATACAATGAACAGAGGTGAGCAAAAGTGGCAGGTTGCATTTAGGGACATGGTAATTCTTTGGTGTGTATATCCGTCATTGGGCTGATGTGAAGTAGACTTAGAGATCTTAGTTTTCAGATACAGCTTAGAATCCTAACATAGTTGTTTTCATTTGTTTAAGCAGAAAGATCCAGTGATTATGTTTAGCTGACTCCAAAAGGAGCAGCTGAATATATAAAGATGCCACACATTTTAGCTTTTATCCTATGAGAACCAGTGGTCATAAGTTGTGTTGCGAAAGTATACTGCTTTGAGGGACATGTGGGCAAGCTTTATATAAACAACAGCCTAGAAGACCTGTACTCTGCCTTGCTTTTCCAAAGAAGCAAAGATTTACCTTTTAGCAAACCAGCTTTTGGAAATTTGTCTTATGGGGAAGGTCAAAGACTAAGCTATGTTTTGTTTTTCCTCTGCGCTCTGCGTTTTTGCTATGCTGCCTGTAATACTTCAATATACAACGGTGTAACACTCAACCACCCCAGAGTCCCCACTTCCCTGTGGTTCCCTGGATACAATCCTCCCTCCAGAAGTCCCTGGTCCCCAAATCTTGGATTCAGCACACGTTGGGGGGAAAAGTCATTTATTTAAAAGGTTCATGAGATGGAGTGGAGAATCTAAAAGCACTAAGAAATACATGATACTAACACTCACAAGAGAAGAAGGGAAATGGGAGAGCAGGACAAACACTAGTTACAGACAATCTACACTACCCTCGAGATCCTGGGCCACATTGGGCACCTGGGACCCAATTTTTAGCAGCAACCTTGGGAAATTTTTACCTGTGTCTCCTATCGCCAAACAAACAATACATCATTTATAAATGTGCTGTTGTTCAGTACTTCGATCTAGAGGGTTTTGCTTTAAAATAGGCTCTCCTGCTGCTTTGTATGCTGACGTGGAAATTCTATTCTTGAATTCTGTTTTCTTTATTTCTTCAAATATGTTCAGAGTTCCTAGTCCAGGAGAAAGCGACATGCCTCTTTTGGGGCTTGGCAGAGCAGCCTTGGGGCCCGGAAGGGCCCATGCCAATTTCTGTTCCTTGGGTACAGGAGTTGTGCAGGCAGGACCATTGGAGCAACCTGGAGCAGCGACTCCTTCAGCAGTTTCTGATGAGCGTGCAGTTGAAAAGTAAGTCAAAGTTGATCTTAAAAGGGGGAGTTGCAACTGGTCCTATCAGCAGACTTTATAGCCATTGACACCGTAGCAGTTACATTGGGTTTAATGATACAGTATCCTCTATTTAAGGGATGTGTAAGTTGCATTTTAAAGAGGATGACCAGATTTATTGGCAATTATGTTAATATGGATCAAAGTGGTTTTATAACAGGTGGGCAGATGGCAGATTTGACTAGGAGAGTATTTAATATATATGAAAAAATTAAAAGCTCATATAGTAGCATTAGATACTTTTAAAGTTTTTGATTGTGTGGAATGGCCAACGATAAAGGTATTAATAGAATTAATGGGATTTGTAAATGACTGTAAATGATAACAGACAACATATCCCTAGGCTGAAGTACTAGATAGGGTTGTCCTCTTTCTCTGATTTTTTTTGCTTTAGTTACAGAACTGCTAGCAAATAGTATTAGGAATGATAATTTAATAAAAGGTATAAGATTTGAGAATAAGATTAATTGCAGATGATACATTATTAACAATAAAGGATCCAGTTAAGGTTATAGATCAAATTAAAGTACATTTAACAGAATGTGGAGAAATAACAGGTTTACAGGTAAATTGGGACACATCAGAGATGATGATATTTAATTGTAATAAAGTGGAAAAGGATGAGATTAAAAGCAAGTTAGAAGTTAAGATATGAAATATTAAGTATTTAGGAGTAAATATAACAAAAATTGCAATGTTTGAAAACAATTTTGATAAGTTAAAATATGAAGTGAAAGAGAAGATGCATGAATTTAAAAAGATTGCTTTATCATGGTTTGGTATAATAGTGACATTCAAAATGAAGACCTTTCCTAAGATTAATTTTTTGCTTATGATGTTACCAATTAAGTTAACAGAGATAGATGGGCAAAACATTATTTATTTTGTAATGTGGATAAAAAAAGCAAGGCTTAATTTAAAAAATATGATATATGCCCCAGAAAACAGGGGGAGGGGGTTAGATATTCCCAATGTGAAATTTTATTATATAGCTATTCAAATGAGGCATATACCAGATATTGTACTACAGATAAGATAATATGGGGTAAATTAGAATATCAGGATACAGAGGGATCCATATTAAATATCTTTCTCCAAGATAATGAGAATAATATTAAAAAGATAGGAGACTCATTTTTAAGAATAAGATTAGAATTTGGAATAAATATAGGGATATATTTGTTCCATCGATTTTGCCATTACATCCAATTATGGAATTAGAGTTCCAGATAATCTGAGGAGCAATTTGAAGGAAGTACTGAAGAGTGAACATGTTATTAGGTTGAAAGACTGGCTAGAGAAAACGAAGAGCAAAGAAATGATACAAGCAATACTGGGACAGGGTAAAGTAAATTGGTTGAAGAAAAATGGTAAATGCAGAGAATATACTAAATTTGAAGATTTAATTTTACAGAAAGAAAAATGACATGTGTATGAGAGGAATAAGTAAAATTTATATTACTAGAAGAACAGGATTGATATTTTCTTAAAGATTATTGGGAAATCTTTAGATCTAAAGAAATGTTCTATTTTTCAGCACTAATATGTGGGATAAGAGAACTTTAAAGTTTATGTCAATAAGAATTAAAGAAAATTTCTATAAACTGTTTTGGAAATGGTACTTAGTCCAATGTTTGTTGGAGATGTAACCAGGAAGTGGGTACATGTTTCCATATGTGGTGGAAGTATAAATATATAAATGAATTTTGGTAAATGGTCTTTAAATAAATTAGTAAAATATTGAATTTAAATATTGAAGTTGATCCTGGATTAGCATTGTCATTATTTAAAGAACAGATGGGACGAAATACTAAATAATTGATGATAAATGTATTAACAGCTGTAAGATTAATAATAGCAAGGAATTGGAAAATAAAAGGTGAATATCATATAGTTGACTGAGATTTTAAAAAGTCTGGAATATAGCTATTAATGATAAGTTAACCTGTGATATTAAATGGAAAAATAGTTTGGTAAGTGAAAACAAATCTGAAAATATTTGGAAACCTTTTACTGAATATGTTTTAATAAAAGGAAAGGAGTGTGAACCACCACAAGAGTCAGTGCAGTCCTGGAAGAGAAGTGGGGCAACCTGAACGAATACATGACCTTATATTAAGTAACTAGAGTTGTTGGTCTTGGCGAAGGTGGCACTGATATTAACATATTGTTTAATTATGCTTATTAATGGTTATGTTTATATTAATTGTATTTTTGTTAACTTAAAAATTAAAAAAATTAAAAAATGCATTTTAGGGCCATGCCCTCCTCCAACTGATATATATTACAGGACTAGTAAGATACAAGGCAGCAATATGTAGGCAGTATTATAGGAAGAAAGCTGATGTAAACAATTCTTTAGCATATGAATCTACACTTGGGTCTTGTGCATGTTAGTTGAACGCTCTGTTTGCATGACTGATTAATGGAAGAGAGGTGCAGCTCCATCAGGAGCCTATTTGAAAGCTGAGGAGCTGTCACAGAGATGGTGATATATACAGCAGGACTTCCTATCTGCCAGTTCAGTTACCGCATCTTCACCTAATTGCAGTTGACATTGGTGCACAAGAGAAATTGTAAAGTGCTTCCTTTAAATAAAAATTCTCAATTTAATAGGGAAAGGAAAAAACTTTTATGTTGAGGTTGCTAGGATATTTAAGAACGAATCTTCTACCCATGAAATTTTTAAAAAAGAAATGTATACATGCAGTATATAGTATTTGCTCTTCTCCGCTGTTTTAGGCATCTGCTGGGGTGCTTAGAACCTATTCCCACAGATACAGGGGTCCTGCTGTTCTTCTCAGTAAATAGCCATAGGATTAGGCTGGATGCCTGATTTGCCATATTGTTTGTTTCTCCTTGAAAAATTGTTTCAAGTTATTTTATTCTTTTTAGAGTACCGTTAATAAAACAAGGCTCAAAAGGAATAACAGTCCCTTTGGCACTGAACCTGATTAAAATACACTGCAAGAATGAAGCTGTGTACCAGTATCATGTGACATTCAGGTAGTAGTTGTTCAATTTTACCGTGCTTTGTGGTTAGGAATGCAATTTTTTCAGTCATTTTTCAGGATAATGTATCTTAAGTCATTGTCCTAAAGTAGTCATCTATAAGACACTTATTTGATGCTTTCCAGGATTCTCGGTGGTAGAATTTTAAGCAACATCGTCTTTTTGGTTATGTAGCAAATCTCAGAAATGGGGGAGCAGATAGTATTTGAAGACTACTAGAATTTGGCATGCCTGTCTGATCAACTGACTGTGTCCTAGCAAACACTGGATTCCTTTTCATTGTGTCACCTGCAAACCCATTGTATTTCAGCAAGATTCTGTGGGAGGTTCTGGACTGGTTTACATGCCATGGGGGTTTATTTTATAAACCATGGAGGCTTGTCAACCAGCCTTGTGCATGCTGGTCATGGCTAAATCATTTCTCTCTCCAGGTGCAGCTTGTTACGTGAGAACCCTGTAAGGATGAGTGGTTGGGGTGGTTAGCAAACCACACAGGACCAGTCCCCTGCTGTAGGTTTGCTGTGTGGTTTGTTAGCCACTCCGGGCACCCACCCTCACTAGGCTCTTAAATAACAAATGGCAAAGGTAATCAGGGAAATGGAGCAGTGTAAACAGGGCTGCTTAATGACTGCTGTGGCTTATGAACCACCCTGTGTAAGCAAATTCAGTCATTAAATGCTCCAGAACACTGAGGCTGCAGAATGTCCCTTGAGGAGCAGATGTAATTCACTTCACTCTTTCACTGACTTGTTAGGACCTTTTTAATAGGAAAAAGGGTCCTAGGCTGGCAGGAGGATGCTGGTAGCCATGGGGTTGTTTTCTGTCTAAACATCTGCAGGGCTGCACTCCTACAAGTAAGTTGCTTCTCCTATTAGTAATATACAGTGGGACTAAAGTGCCCACCACATGACAGATCCATTTAGTGTATTTTACAAAGAGGTGGGGAGTGGGTCTGTCAATTTGTATATCTGTTCTGATGGAAGTATATTTCATCTAGAAAAAAGAACCTATTTTCTTTGGAACTATAGCAGCAGTCAAGTTGACTTGAGGATTCCACTAGAAAGGGTAATGAAACTATTGCTTAGTATTACCTTCTAGTGAGATAATGGAGCTTTTGCATGTAGGTACTGATTTGTGTATGTGTATTGTTTTGCTTATTAGCAAACATTCCAGCAAACAATCATCCAGCATTTGTTCTGATGTTCTCCTAGCTGGTTTGGACACTTCGTTATTTATGCGGATCAGTGTAATTCTTGGCTGCTGAGAAAGGAGATGCACATTTTCCAATGAGAAGACATTGCTCGCACCATTTCACAGTTCACTTATTTTTGCACTGTTACTTTGTCTTTCAGTCCGGATGTGGAATGTAAGAACATGCGTTTTGGGATGATGAAGGAACATAAATCAGTGACAGGAGATGTTACTGCCTTTGATGGCTCTATTCTGTTCTTACCGATCAAGTTAGCACAAGTAAGGCCTGACAAAGTTATCAAAGAATTTGCAGAAACAAATTTGACTGATTTCGCATTCCAAACCTTTCCCCACCTGTGTCTGTTTATTTCTCCTCGGGAGGATTCTCCCATATAGATTTATATTCTTTAGTATAATTCCTTTATATAATGCCAAAATAAGAAAATGGTGAGGAAGCAGTTAGTGTGAGGTGCCAGGTGCTTCTAGTCTGTATATAAGAGTTCTAAAGAAAATAGTTTCAAAAATACTTTGTTTGTAAAAGTGTAGCTCTTTAATAAAGCAAATAGGATATGCAGTGCAAAGAATTGCTGCTGTTTGTATTGCTGGACTTTCTGCAACTCTTTATAATTTATGTCATTTGAGAGTTTAGAATTGCATGGCAAAATGTTTGACTCCTAATAACTGTATTACCAGATGGTGCCCTGCTCTAGATATTTCTTGGATATATGCCTGAACATACTGGGGGGTCAGGACCTGATTATCTCCCCAGTCCTGGGTTTTTATCAAGGAAATATGTTAAAGAGGTACCGGCAGGGCTTGCATGATCAGGAAAGGAAATGAAGGCAAGGTGGTTTCTCCCCTCACCTTGGATCTGCCAATCCAAAATCATGGATTGTGGGTGACATATTGGCCACCCCTGCCACCCACCTTGCAAAATACAGATGACTTGGCAAACCCACGCACAAAGCAGGTAATTAAGGAAATGTGGTGGGGCACATGCTCTTCGGCTTCTTTCTTTTTCTCCCATTATGTGAACCTGGACATTGGCTTTCCATGGTGGTCTTTGTAAGGCCTGTGAAGATAATGAAGAGGAGGCTGTCTTTCATCAGATCAAAGGCAGCTTCAATTTTGAGTAACATAAAACAAAAGAGTATGGTAATATACCATTCCAGTAAAGTGCATTTTCAAAATAAGGTGTTTCAGGGCATAATATTACATAGCCATTGGTTCAATATTTAGGTGCTTTTGCACTTCTTTTTATTTTACAGAACAGCATGAAAGCTATAATCTAGTGTGAATCACATGACCCTGCACCATAGTTCGTTGTTATAGGTAGGTTGTCATGTCATGCGAAAATAGCTTGGATCACCTAGGATGGGTTGTCTTTCCAGACGACCCATCCTGAGAACCCATAGGCTGTTCTAACGTCGTTACCAGCCATGGTGGCTTGCTGTATGCAGGCATCAATGACATGATCCACTGTGGGTGAACCCCAATAGTCAGCAAGCTGCTTGGCAAAAGTGGCAAAAATCTCTTGCCACTCTTGACAGGCAGCTGCTGGGCGAGTTCTGCTGACAGCTGCTTCCAGAGTGCCTAAGTGGGACTTGGAGTCTGCTAGCAGAAGATATTCTCTGGCATGGTGGTGTGGAGAAGCCATAATTACCAGCAGCTCAAGCGTAAATCTTTTCAAAGCAAGGATGACTGGGATCAGCTTTTTGTTACTGAAAGGGTGTGTTTCCCCTCAGCAAGGAGGTGTGGGTGTCCTTGCCAATAGCTTGAGAGGCCTGTTCTTGGTGCAGGGCCTGTTAGCAAGGGGAAGTGGATCGTGGGCATCTTTGCTCATAGTTTGAGAGGAGACCTCTCCAGGTAGCACTGGAGATCTATTCTGCAGTGATCCAGAGGGTAGACTTCTTGGGCAGAAGGTAGGAGCCAGCAGGCTGGTTGGGTACCCTTGCCCCTTCCCCAGATCAGCTGCTCCATCCTCTTTGTTGTATTTCAGGTCATGTGTCCTGTACGTTCTATGGGACAGGGAAGATTTTTCTTGTAATTCTTTTGTGTCCCCATTGGCTCATACTCAGATGCAGTGGGGATAGTGTCCAGCCTCAGCTGAGCAACATGCAATGGGTCATGCCTGGAAGCGGTCCCAGCTGTGCTCCAGGTCACAGTCCTATTTGGGCAACAAGCAGGCTGCTGTTGGAGAAAAGAGCCTTGTTACTCATGCCCCCAGAGTACCACTGGGGGGATCCGGTGGGGAGAGAGGAATCCACCTTGAACCTGATTGCTGTTGGGCTCATAGAGGGTATCTTGGAAAACAGTCAGCCTGTTGTGGCTTATTGCCAAGGTGGGTTGTGTTGTATGAATTTAGCCAGTGGATGACACAAGAGAACAAAGAAAAGAGCCTGGGAGTAAAAGATACCTTTGATAGCCATGTTAGGAAAAACATCTTTTGCTAAATGTAATTTTTAATATGCAGCTGTGATTGGAAGGCTTTTGCTGTGTACTACTTAATACACGTCCTTTAAAACATGTAGAATTCTCTTCTTCAAGGTAGTCCAGCAAATGTACTGATCTGCATTTGTGTTTTGATGCAACGTATTTTTCCCTGCTTAGAATGTGGACTTGAAATGTCAGAGAAAGACAGATGGAGTGGAGGTTAATCTAAAGATTCAGATGACCAAAGTTCTGGAACCTAGTTCAGACCTGTGTGTTCCATTTTACAATGTTGTTTTCAGGAGGTAAGTGGCTCTTTGAGCTAGAAATCTCTCCCTTCTGTTTCACACCTTGAGGTTTAGTGTTGATTTAAAGCAATCTGAATTAAAATGATAATTGAATGTGATACAAATATATACTCCTGAGCTTTCAATTGTTCTTTAATGAACCTCTGCTGCATAGTGTAGAGGCCTGGTTTTCAAATAGAAAAACAAATCAAGGAGAGAAATATGTGACTTTGAGGTTAAACATTTTAACACAATAGATATGTTTGGTGTTCATAGTTAAGTACTTTAGAAGCATAGACACTCTATTTTTATGCCACATTGATCAAACTGGTATCTACTGGCCTTGCTTCAGAGAGATTCAGGCAATTAAATGTTCTAGTATATTTTCTTGAACGTAACACATTCCTGTGCATGTTTACTTGGAACCAAGTCCCACCTTATTTTAAATGGGCAAACAAGTGTGTCAAAGCTTTAAAATGCAATCCTCTGCATCCTTACTCAGAGGTGTCCCATTAGTATAGCTTACTCCCTGGCAAATGTGCATAGAATTATACGCATGCTTGCTTCATTTATGGCCCACAGTTTCCCTACAAGACAGCTTACTGTTTTTCCTCTGTCTCGCCATTTTATCCTCTCAGTATCCTCTTTATCCTCTTATCCTGTGAGGTAGGTTCAAAATAAGTTTATTTTTAAACCTGGAGCAGTTTAAAAATAACAACTTTAATGTCTTGGAATTGCCCAGTCAAAGCCTAGATCCCGATTTTATTGAAAACTGTGTGCCAGCAGTCCCCATGCCACCTGGCAAAGCTGGAGCAGCTCCAGATGAGCAAAACTGGGATCCAAAGGATCCGGATGTGCAAAACTGATGAACATGTGCCCAAGAAGACTTGCAACTTAGCAAGTGCTTCTACCAAGTGTTGACTCAAAGGGTTGGGGAACACTTATGCAAACAACAAGTGTCAATTCGTTTTTCTGAGTTTTGTAGCACAGTAAAACTATTTTGCACTTTCACAGTGTTTGAATATCTTGTGTACATCAAGTTGTAACAATGCTAATTAAAAGTCTTTCAGATTCAGCTCCATGTTGTAACACAACAGTTGGAGAAGTCACAGGTGTATGTGGAATACTTTTTCAAGACTGTATATTGTAACAGCCCTATTGATTTGTAAATAGGTTTGTTTTAGGAACTAACTAATATGGCTTCAGGCTCAGTAGATACAGAAATTGGAACAATTGACATTTGATTTTGAACCAGCTGTATAATTGCCCCCTTTTCTTGGTGCTAAAAATCATGATTGTAGTTATTTGGATTTAAATTGATTTTGTCTGGCAGCAACTCATAGTACTTTCAGTTTGAGTACCCTACTGTAATCTGGGTCAGATGTCAGAGTGGGAGTATCTCTTCTGACCACATAGGGAAATTAAATTGAGCTTCCTAGTTTAATATAAAGGAAGAAATAGGAAAATCCTTTGATTCATTTCTACCAAATTTATTTATTTATTTGAAACACTTATCCTTCACTATCACGTCTCAGGACGGCTTATCTTCATTTATGACTATTTTTGTCAATAAGAGGACCAGTGAAGATTCCATTTCTGTATACTATGTCCTGGTCTAAAATAACAGAATGTACTTTCCATTTTTCAGTCTCTTCTCTTCAATGGGTTTCAATTCTAGGGTAATGAGGATTTTAGATATGAAACTTGTTGGGAGGAGTTTTTTTGACCCCACCAGTGCTACTGTGCTGCAGCAGTACAGGTTGGTATGCTTCTTAGTGTGTGTCTTAATTTTATCTGAACATTCCAGAATTTCAGCAAACCATTTTCATGTGTCCTTTGGTTATTTATGTGGAATGCCTGCTGTCCAATTGTGGCAAAAGAAAGGCTTCTTGATGCAATGTGCCCCTCTTTCTTGGTCGATGGCATGGGTTGGGTTTTGTCCAAACATGTGGATGAGTCCAGCCCTCTTCCTGCCTAGCGTCCCTGCTGCAGCCTCAGAGATTGGAGGCATCCACCTGCATGGGGAAGCCAGCACTCATTCCTCTGTGCATTTGATGAGTCCTGCCACATCGCATCCCTCATGCTGCTTCACAGATTGACAATAGCAGCAGGGTGAGAGGAGTGTGGATTTGCCAATGCTGGCCAAGCTGAGATAGCAGCAAATGTTTTCTGAGCCTATCTGTTCAGGGGGTAGGGCTTAAAGTCTGTGTCCCCCACCTGGAGAAACCTCAGTAGGCACTGCAGGATGAAAAGGAACTGAAAGCAGTGGCAAACTGCCCAGCTCTGATCTGCCCCTGCTCCTCTGTTTTCTTACCATGTGTGTGGAAGTCTTCACTGATACCACTTTATAACCGATCTTAGCAGAGACAGTAACTCCAGTGTTCCATTTAATAAGTTTAGCAGTTTGTTCCTAGGTATAGAAACAGCTTGAATAATCTTCATAATAGAACTAAATGTTTATTAAATGAATCGGAAGTTGAAATAGGCTTTTCTAAACATGGTAATTTTGGCCTTTGGTATGGTTGTTACATCTTCATAGCTTCCCTTGGGCTTCGAAATTGAGTGCTGTTCTGTGTACTTTATTAATTTATTGATTTAAAACATGTATATCCCATTCTATAATCAAGCAGGATTTCTGTTTCTCTTAAAGGTTGCAAATATGGCCTGGCTATGCAACCAGTATCCGGAGGACAGATGGGGGGCTGTTTCTTTTGGCTGATGTTGTTCATAAGGTTATTAGGAATGATTCTGTGCTGGATTTCATGTGAGTAAGAAATTCTTGAGTTACACCTTCATTACACTTGGACAGCATTGTATAACAGTATGTAAGGAGTAGCTCTGTTGAGGTGGAGCCAATCTGGCAGCTAACCAAGATTGTTCCAGCAACTTTTCTGTACCTGTAATACGGAACCTGTCCATGAACTGCTCACTACAGACAGAGGGTCTTAGGCAGTGATTGAATGACCCTTGGAAAGAGGACGTTTCCTCTGTAAAGGCAAGGGCAATAAACTGACACCAAGATACCAAACCACCTAAATACATCAGGTGAAATGTATCCCATTGTTGTCAGACAGAGGTGCTTGTCATGATTTGGACTCTAGATTTGTTATGTTTCCTTTAACTGTGGGGGTCCCGGTAGTGAATTATTTTAAAGGCAAAAGTGAGAGTGGTAAACTGAAAATGAAGCCCATCCTTTCTCAGAGAAGAGCCAAAACCTGTTCTGTGTAGCACAGCATGTAGGATCTTTTTCTTTTTTCTTCACTTCTATTCATGCTGCCTGTGACTGGCCAGTCAGTGCTTGCAAGTATGCCTAGCAGCTCTGTCTCCTTGGCTTCCCTTCTCCTTTCATTCCCAATGAACTCCTGTATGGCAGCAGCAGGCAGGCAGAGTACCCGCTAGAGCCACTCTGTTGCACTTCTAGATTTGGTCTCAATCAGGTCTGCCAGGACCAGTGTTAGCCCAGGAATTGGATGCTGGAATGAGTGGGTTTTCAGTGTACTGGTTCAGGTTTAAAAAAAAAAATTCTTGCGCCTATTGGGGCTTTGAGAGAGAAACTAGAGGGAAGGGTGCAGCAGTAGTTTCAGCCAGGAGGTGGGTAGGTTGCTTGCTTTGTAGGTCTCTGTGCGTGCACGAAAGAGAGAGCGTGAGAGAAATTTGAGGCTGAAAGCCCCTGGATAGTATTTTTTTAATAACTTTTTAGAAAGCCAGTGTAGTGGTTAAGAGCACAGGTCTGGGACTAAGGCAATCTAGGTACTAGTCTGCACGTAGCCATGAAGCCAGCTGGGTGACTTTGGGCCAGTAGAAGACTCAGCCCAACCTATCTCACAGGGTGGTAGTTGTGGGGATATGGAGAACAGGAGGAGGATAATTATATAAGCTACTTTCAGTTCAATGTAAGGAAAAAGTATAATATAAATCTGGAGATTCAGAGGACATCCCAGTGGTCAGGGCCAGAGGTGTTCCCTAGAATTCACTCTTGTTTCTGTTGTTCCCCATGTTTTCTTTTTTTCTTTTTGGCTTTTTAATGGCATTCTGGGAGTGTGAAAGCAGTTGTGGAATGACATAGGAACCCCTCAGCACCTTGTTAATTTCCCCCAAAATTTATTTCCCAGTATTTCTTGAGAAAATTTTGTATACATTCAGACAGCTCTGCCTAGATTATCCAGTAGTAATCATTACAGAATTGTTGCCCAGTGAACTACATTACAGATATGGGAGACTGAGGCAGACAGAGAGTCACTTGCCTGAAATCATCTAATGAATTAATGGCAGAGGTGAAATTTAAACCAGGGACTAGTTGATTCATAGCCCAGTCATTTAGCCACTAACCTATACCAGCCTTTGATATGTCAACCAAAAGCAGTTTTGTCCATTTTCTTTTCCCCAAAGGCATGTAATTTACCAGACAAGTCGGGAGAACTTCCAGGATGAGTGTACAAAGCAGCTACTTGGCAACATTATAATTACCCGTTATAACAATAACACTTACCGTATCGATGACATTGACTGGAATAAGACACCAAAAGACAGTTTTACCATGTCCGATGGGAAGGAGATCACTTTCATAGACTATTACAGGTAAGAGGTGCTTCTTAAACTCTGGTGTTAGGCTAATAGTGGAAAGTGGTACTGAATGAAAGAACATAATCTTCATGTGTAATACTTTAAGATTGGTCTTACTCTGGCTAACAAGAGGTAGTCTCAATTTGCATTTGGTGCTTTAGAATTCACATAACATTTCTTTTCCAGTAAAAATTATGGGATAACAGTCAGGGAGCTGGACCAGCCATTGCTGATTCACAGACCCAGTGAAAGAAAGAATCCTCCAGGGAAGGTGAGGAGGTGGCAGTGTACTTGGAACTGAATTTGTATAAGTCAATGGTAAGGAAAAGCCAGAGTGAACACGTTTTTTGTAATTATGGAAGGCATGTGATCATCAGTGCCTGGTGTATTGCAGAGGTGAGATAATTCATTCCAAATTTTAATATTCCAAATCTTCCCAGCCCCTGTGGTAGTGGAAAGGTCTTCAGGAACTCGGAGAGGTGTTTGGGTGCCCAGATTGTCTAAGGAAATCAAACTCAAGTTAGTTTCACATGTTAACCGGTTCTTGCAATAATGCTCACAATTAAGTTAATATATTCCCAATCACAGTGTATAGGTATGAAATTTGGACAGTGAAGAAAGCTGAATTAATGCATTCAAAACATGGTGCTGGAGGAAAGCTTTGTGAATACCCTGGACTGATAGGAAGGGGTCCTAGATCAAATCAAGCCAGAGCTCTCTCTAGAAGCTAAAATGAGAGCTGAGACTGACATACTTTGGAGAAGTATTTTGAGAAAGCAAGACTCCCTGGAGAAAACAGTCATGTTAGGGGAAAAATTGAGGGCATAAGGCATAAGAGAAGACCAAACATGAGTTGGACTGAGTCCATACAGGAAGCCATAGTCCTCACTTGGAAAAGCTGAATGGAGCTGTCATGGATATGTCATTTTGGAGGGTCTTCATTCATGGGGGTCACTGGAAGCTCAAGATGACTTGACAGTATATAACACATGTTAACATATCCTCTTATGCCAGGATGAACAATTTGGTACTTTTCAGATATTTTGAACGACAACTTTCATCACTCCAGCCAGCATGGTTAGTTGTTAATCTGGAGGCAACCATGTTACCTGCTCTGATGGATATGTTTCACTAGTGGGGTACATAGAGAACATGCGTCTAGTAGTGTAGCCAGTGCCACTAATTAGTTAGCTAGTTTAATTCATAAATACACCTACAAAGAGATGGGATAGCTAGCAACCTGTACAGTCAACTTCATAAACAGGAGTGAAATCATGAATCTAAAATCTCAAATATCATTAAATGTATAATAAATAACTACAATAAAAAACCTAACCCAATCAGTCAGGAAAAAAACCAGTTCCTTGTACCCCCAAAATTTGCACAAATGTCTTTCAGGGGGTTTGTATGATGTATCACCAACTCCAACTGGTGATATTGTGAGCTTTCTCTGTATAAAATGTACTAATATCTTTCTGTTTAATTTTTCTGTAGCTGGAGAAAGGTGAAATCCTGCTGCTCCCAGAAATCTCCTTTCTGACTGGAATTCCTGAAAAGATGAAGAAAGATTTTAGAGTCATGAAGGTGGTTAAATCATGTGATTTAGTATGTAGAATTGAGATGCCTTGTAGAAGTCAAACTGCAGGGCGCTGACATTTTGGTCAGTGCCCTTAAGCAAGTTAGAAACATAGAAACAGAGCGAGTCAGAAGGTGTCTCCCGGGCCATCTAGTCTGACCTCTAAGTTGCTTAGAGTTCCTCCAAGGCAGGGAAAACGTGGTGACCAAATTAGCTGGTTGTGTTTGCCAGGGCAACAAAAATTGGAGAGCTCTGTTTTTTGTTTGTTTTAATTCCCTTGGTTTAGATCACCAGTGTTCTCTGAAGGTTGAACTTAGGTGATGCTCAAGAGACTATTGTAAGAATGTTTTTGATTTACTTGCTCTGCAATTTTTAAAAAACTCTTTGGGCATTGTTTGGGCTTTTTGCCTGATCTGAAAACTTTGACTTTAACTAGTGACTACACCAGATGTTACTTTGATTACATGGTTATCAACCATACTTTGGTTTTTCAAAAATGTAATGATTGAGAGGTTTAAATGGGACTAGAGGGCATACCAAATTGGGGAAAGGGGTAGTTCTTGTTGGGGTCCCAGCTGGGAAGGGTAGGGTTAAATCTTCCCTCCTGCACTGAGTTTAAAAAGGCAAAAAACCCAAGACATATTTGTTAATCTTGGACCCTTTTTTTCAAATTAGAAATGGGATATTTAATGAAATACAGTGTCAGTAAATTGCTAAAAAATTGCATCTGTGGTGTGGCTTCTTTTTGATGTGATGAGGAAAAAATGGGAAGATTCAAAGGTGGTGCTGTATGGATAGTCATTTTATTTACGCTTTTTAAAAATACATGCTAAAGATATGACTTTGATTCTTCTCCCTCCCCCACTGCTCCCCCTCCCCCATTCATATGCTCTTGTGTTAGGATCTTACTCAGCAGATCAACTTGAGCCCTAAGCAACATCACACATCCTTGGTCCAGCTTCTTAATAGAATAGAGAAGAATGAGGCTGCCAGCAAAGAACTGTCACGGTGGGGACTCTGTTTAGATAAAGATGTTTATAAGGTAACCGAAACAAGAACTTAACCTTGTCCAATGTCAAGATCTAGATTTCTTCGGAATCATGACCTTCTTAGCCACAGATTGACATGCCATAGAAATCTCACTTTTGATTCTGGTCCCTTGTAATATAATTGATTGCAGAAGCAAAACGAATATAACCTTTATGTGTCTTAACAGCTGTTAATGAAGTAGAAATGAGAATGAACCTATTTCTATATGAAATGACTGTTTTGAACTCAGTATTTTCACTCTAGTAAATGGCTGCAGCAGAATAAAATTTTGGCATTAATCTGCATTAGGGAGTAAAGGCGAGGAGTAAAAAGTGCATTTGGTATTTCGCTTATTTGGTATGGCACTTTGAAGCAGAGACCTGGCCCAGATTAAAGTTTGTAATCTGAGTATGTTTTTCTGTGTTCTGCTTTAGGCAAAAGGACGTATTCTTCCCATGGAAAGAATCAACTTGAAGAATAGTTCCTTTATTACCTCAGAAGACCTAAACTGGAGTAAAGAAGTAACTAGAGAACCCTGCATTTCTGCAGTAAGCTTGATCTTGACATAATTCCATAGTGCAATGATTGATTCTTTGCAATATCCGTTTTAAGATGTGAACAGGGTGACTAAGTTTATCTTTCAAATTCTCCCTGCCAGATTGCCATTCCTATGTGATGAATGAATGAATTTGGGCAAAGTTTCAGTTTCTTCTTTTTTTAAAATTCTCCCCAGGAATACTCCCAGGACTAGGCAAATTCAGTGATACTTGTACCACATGTATGCTCAGGAATGCCATCTTTCCCTTTCTGTTTGGCATGTCTGCTTTAAACAGGGATGTACCATTTGAATACAGTTTTTACTGGGCATAGCCTAGATCTTTCTGGCATACTAACAACTTAAAATTAACCTCTGATCTTTCCATGTGTAAAGATTTTATTTGAAAGTTTGCCCATGTGTGGATATTGGAGATGTTGGAAGATAGAGGTGGGGGGACATCTTGGGCTATTACTAGAAAAGTGGTTGGACATTTTAGAGTTCATGCTCATCTTCTCTAACCGCTCTTTAAAATTATATACTCAGTTTGTCTACTCCTGACTATAAAGTTATGTCTGTCTAGGCTGAATGCCAAGGAATGGTGGAAATCAGCTACATTATTGATCAACAGTTCCCTAATTTCTGACATTAGGCAGATAATAATAAAGAAATGAACAGTACAAATGTTCATGCTTTGCGATTTAACCACTTAGCATTTTGAACTTGGGACTGTTCCTGAAGATCGGTGGAAGTTGCCTAGAGTCTTCCATTCGGAAGCCTCTTGGCTGTCTGAACAACAAATCAACACCTTGAGACATCAGGTTGACTGTTATTCCAAGGCCATGCTGGGAGCCGGAGTGCTGTGCAGTCATGCATGGCTTTATTCTGCTGGTCTTTCCCAAGAGGCTTGTTAGAGAATTTAGGGGTCATGCTTTGATGGAGATGGCTTGTTCAGCGCAAAAGCTGATGAAGCTGTGGATTCCATTCAGAAGGCAGAAACAGTTTAGGAAAACAGTGTAAAATACAAAGAAGTGTGTGTGTTTATGTGAGGGGGGGGAGAGTGCGCACATGCACATGCATGCAAAAACCTGGGAAAATGGTGGCTTAGCTGTCTTAGCAATTTGTGAACTGCAAGAGGAAGAGACTGCCTGCTGACTTCCGTTCTGCTCTCTAGATTCCAATTCATTACTGGGCGCTCTTTTTCCCAAAGAGGACACTGGAGCAGGCACGTGAACTGATCAGCATGGTGCAAAAGGTCTCTGGCCCACTTGGTATTGCATTAAGTTCACCTGCTTTGGTGGAATTGAAGGATGACCGCATAGAGACTTACGCCAGGGCCATCAAATCATTACTGAGTAATCAGGTATGTGCTTCATAGAGTTTTGAATCTTAAAACCTTTGACTGTTGAGAGAAAAATGTATGATGTTGACTGTGTAGAGGAGAGGCACTAATAATATGGGTCAAAGGTGGCAAATACAGTTCTGGGCATTTCAGCATTCCTTCATAGCTTTAGAGGAAGCAAAATTTAAAAACATTTTGTCCAAGCCTTCTATCGTATAGTCAATTTATAGTTATGGTCCTAATGTTAGATGGGAGAACCCTACTATTAATTCAGGGTGACTGTTTGGTAATATACAGTTCCATCCTACTTTGCCAAGTAAAAATAGGAATGAGTTGTAATGACTGGGGACAGCAGTTTTTCAAGGAAGAGATTGGGTGACAGCTTTATCCCTTCTTCAAGAGGGAAGAAAGGACTCTGATTTGGTTTATAGCATCATCACATAGTCAAATCTGGCTGTGGCAATGTGGTGTTTTAACAGTGCATACATAATCTCCAGTTAGCTACAAGCATGGAAAAAGCAGCCATGGTTGACAAAAAGTGAAGTGGCTACAGAAAGGGGTGGTAGAAAGGCAAAAAATGTTAAACTTCTTGAAATCCCACCTTCTACATGATAAATATTCAACTGAGAACACTATTTCATTTATTGCACTTCTGTACTGCTCAGTAGATCTGCTCTGTCTGAGTGATTTGTAGCTTAATTAAACAGTATATACACCCAAATTTTTACAAGTTAGAAACAGTTAAAAACAAAACAAAAAACTTCAAGACCTGATTTCCCTCCCCAACATGAAAAGGCCTTTCATATACCACCGGTTGTCTGGGAGTCGAGAAAAGGCTTAACCTGGTGCCCAAAAGAACAGTGTTGCTTCCAAGAGGATCTCCCTGGAGAAAGTGTTGTACATTTGGGGCCTCCACCAAGATGGTCCAGTCCCTTGTAGTCCTTCAAAACTCATCTGGAGAAGGGTCTCAGACATTGGTCATAGTTCATGAGTTGGTCCATACCCTAGTTAAATTACTGGTGGTGGTTTATATGCCACTAGGTAAGACTTGGATTGAAAACTGAGGGTTGCTGTTACTGAGTAAATATTAATGAAGGTTAATACTGTTGTCAGCTTGCTGCTTCACTGTTTGTACAGTTATGGCACTTTCATTGCTTCCGTACAATTTCAGCTCTGCATTAGAATGAGATGTGTTATCTGTATAAGATAAATCAGTCACTTTCCCTCCATTTTAAGGACACTGTACAGTTGGTAGTTTGTATTATCACTGGGACCAGGGATGACTTGTATGGGGCCATTAAAAAACTCTGCTGTGTACAATCTCCAGTCCCTTCTCAGGTGAGTCAAATAAAGTTTCTATGCTTCGGATACTTTGGTTTAATTTAAATCTTTAATTCAAGGCATGTCATCAAAGCATTCCTTTCATTGGCTTCATTAGTTGTGGTGCTTCATAGCTAGTAACTTAGAGTTGTTACATAGAGTCATTGTGTGGTCTTGCTTCTCAAAGAATAGGACTCTGGTTCTTCTTGAAGGCCACGGTCATCTCTAGTAAGAAAGAATGTAATGGGTAGGGTTCTTGATTTTAAGATAATAAGTAGTAAGTGTGATTTCTTTGTGAAGTATCTATGATGAGCCCAACAGGTAAATGGGTTCATCATGGGTCCTTCAGTCTGTCCCCATCCTACTTCCTCTTTCCTTCAGGCAGTAACCCACCCCCCCAGTCTCTGTGAAAAGGAACAAGTCTCTCCTCCTTGATGCACAGAATCAGTGACTCAGTTTTGACTTGCTGCAGCATTCCCTTAATTTTCCCCCCGTGGAAATGGTGGAAGCCACCTGCAGAACTGCCTTTCACTATCTTCTTAAGGGGTTAGCACAAGCTGGCCCTTTAAAGTGCCCTGTGGCACCTTGGCAAGGCTGCCCATGCCTAGCCACTGTTTTTATTCATTGCTCTGTGCCCACAAATGGGTGCAAAAAATCGAAGGAAAGCTGCAAGGGATCTTTTGCTCAGAAGGGGCTATTTTTTTCCCCAGACAGCACCTTTCTGCCATCAAACCTCCTTTTTCTGCTCCTTCTGCCTTTTTAAAGGGAATTGATTTTCTAACAGAGCTGAATTGAATTCAGTTTCCCTTTCTAAAGTTGAGGTAAACTTTTAACCTTTCCCAAGCCTCCAGGGGGTTGGGACAAGGGGCAAAAACTTCTCCCACATGGAGAAGAAAGGTGGAAAAAGCAGAAAAAGAAGGATCTTGTCATGAAGGAGGTTTCGTTTTCTAAAAGTGGTCTCTTCCCAGCAAAAGATTCCTCACACTTTTGTTATCAGTAAGCAGTTCACCTTATACAGGCCAGCCATTGCAAGGCAAGATGGGGCAAAGGGAATTGGCTGGGACCATGTGCAGTGCCCCCTGCAGGGAGCAGGGGGCATCTCTCTACACATTGGAACTTGCCCCTGTTGAGCTTCAGGGAAGGAGCTCTGTTTGCTTAGCAGGGCCTGCTTTAAAAAAAGAAAAGAGAATTGCACTGATATGTGGGTGCAGAATATTAATTAAATCCTGGGAAGCCACATAGAGTACTCTGCGGTGCCACAGGACATGTTGCAGGAGCAGCTTCTACCTACATATTATGAAGGTGGGACATGCAGGCTCTGCAGACAGATTTTGAAACCTGCAGGACAAGAGTTTGAAGGGACAAGCAGTCATTGCTAGCCAAAGTCAGCCAGTGATCCGAGGGGGCACATGGGAGCAGGTGGCAACTTCAGTCACCTGAAAGTGAGGCAAGGAGTTTTTTGCTGTACATGTCAAGCTGCTTGCTGGCTGTTGCCTCTCATGTGCAGTGAGTGTCTTGTCTGCATTTGGATGACATGACAAGCCATCATGGGCGACAACAACCCTAGAGCAGTCCATGGGCTCTGCAGTATGGTTTCTTTGAAAGTCCAAGCCGCCCTTGGTGAAGCAACCCCTATTTGCATGATACATTTTAATCTTGTTTAAAATAGTACAGTAATGCAGTCATTTAGACTTTTCTAAAACTGAGCAAACGACCTTGCTATCATCTTACGAAAGGCTGATTTCTTTTTAAGGGGAAAAAACTGCTGGAGACGCCTCTTCCCAACACAGTCATGTTGTCTTGGCTAGGGGAGTCATACGTTGTCGCAGTTGCTGGAATTTAAGTAATGCTATTGTGCTTCCCACCAGGGTCATGCAAAGAGTCCATGTAGGTGTTCTGCTGTGTGCCTGAATACATGATCTTTGTGATCTGTTTTGTTCAGAAACTATTAATGTTTTTGATGGTGCTGGACAAATAGCGTAGGTGTTTATAATCTATTCTGCCTAGTAATTAAACTACCTTGCTTCTTGAACATTCTGGCCACTTGTAACAAGCCATATTAGAGACATAGAAACAGAGCGAGTCAGAAGGGGTCTGCCGGGCCATCTAGTCTGACCCCCGGCTCCAGCCAGCTCTGCTCACGACATGCCCACCATGTGCATGTCCAGCCTTGTCCTTGAACACCCGCACTGATGGGGCCTCAACCACCTCCCGTGAAAGCCCATTCCTTACCCTCGGGGTCCTAACTGTCAGGAGGGGCTTCCTGGCATCTAAATGGAACCTGGGTTCCCTGAGCTTTGCTCCATTGGAACGTGTCCTGCCTTCCTCTGCAGGGGAGAACAGGTCTCTACCCAATAATTATGCATGCTTAGTTGAAAATAAATTCTACATTGTCTGATGCAGCTCCCAAATAAGTTTGGGAAAGAAAGAATAAGAAAGAAGCTCTAGCTACCAAGAACATCATCTTGTATACTATCTTTTTCTTGTGTACATGATCTGTCAGTAAGCAAGCCTAAGTACAAAATATGTTTGATGCATGTCCAGCATTTCCATGGATGTTGTTGTTAGTCGCAAAGTTGTGTCCAACTCATTGCAATCCCATGGACAACATTCCTCCAGGCCTTTCTGTCCTCCTCCAGCTTAGGAGTCCACCTAAGCTCATGCCAACTGCTTCAGTGACTCCATCCAGCGACCTCATCCTCTGCCGTCCCCTTCTGTTGCCGTCAGTTGTTCCCAGCATTAGGCTCTTCTCCAGGGAGTCCTTCCTTCTCATTAGGTGGCCAAAGTATTTGAGTTACATCTTCATTATCTGGCCTTCTAAAGAGCAGTCAGGGTTGATCTCCTCCAGGACTGACTGGTTTGATCGCCTTGCAGTTCAAGGGATCCGCAGGAGTCTTCAAGAGTGCTATTTCTCTCCTGTCCTACTTCTTGGTTTATGGGCAGACAGAGCACTAGACTAGGTAGTCCTTTGGTCTGATTCAGCATGGCCCATGATCTTATAGAGCCTCCATTTAAGTACAAGCCCAGCATGTGCTAATTGTTAGAATTAATTCTAACATTCAGTTAGAAATACAAATTTCAGAATGGAAGGTATTTAAACTACAATTGTAATTGGCTGTATGTGTGTAAGGGAGGGAATGGTCTGTTGTAAATTAATCCATCCTATCTGAAGAGACATCCTATGTTTATTTACATATTTTCTTAAACTGTTTTTAAAAAGAGAAGCTAAAACAATTAAAATTGAGCTGAAGCCAATAAGAAAACATTGAATTAAAAATCAGATGTTATTTCTATTGGTTTATATACCATTGTTAGTTCACTTTTCTAATATGTAAAATGGTTATTTATCTGCCCAATAATAAAGGTTTTCTAAGTGGAGTATAGTGCTAAACAACATAATGCAAAAGAGAAATATACGTATTGTAATTAAAACAGGTTGGCTGGTGGACTGATCATTTTTGTATGTGTCTGATCAATAAACAAAGGTTAATAATCTTTGTTTTAATGGCTGCTAAATATCTTGTAAAAGTAAATGAAGAGTTATTGAAGGAGGAATAATATTGTCTTGGCTGAGATTATTCAACTGTAAATATTTGCCTCCTGCTGCAGGTTATTAATGTTCGAACCATTACAACCCAGCCAAACAAACTTAGGAGCATAGCACAGAAAATACTGTTGCAGATCAATTGCAAGCTGGGTGGAGAGCTCTGGGGTGTGGACATTCCTTTGGTAAGTCAGATAAAAGCTATAAAGTCCTTAACGGCTTGGGACCTGGTTACCTAAAGGGTGCGCTTACATCCATATCTGCCCTCCCGCCCCTTGAGATCGGCGGCAGAGGCCCTTCTCCGGGAACCCTCTGTGAAGGATATTAGGAGGGTGTGTACCCGAAGGAGGGCCTTCTCTGCGGTGGCGCCCGACTTATGGAACGCGCTCCCCAGAGAGGTCCGCCTGGCGCCGTCATTATTTGCTTTTCGGCACCAGGCCAAGACCTTTTTATTTAAACATTTTAATTGTTAATTTTATTTATTGATTTTAACATTTTTTGCCAGGATGTCTCCAATATTTTATGTAATTGTATTCATTATATTTATTTATGTTTGGAAGCCGCCCCGAGGTTTATGCGAATGGGGTGGCATATAAGTTCTCCAAATAAATAAATAAATAAATCTGTATGGGGGAGACCTAACCAAAACAGCCCTGCAATGTAGTCCACTGTTAAGATTGCTGGTTAGCAATGAAGCTGAAACAAGCTTGGATCTCTGCTCAAAAATCCCTCACACCTTAGGTTGCAGTGAAGGTCTGCATAGTTAAATTGAGCCCTCAGGCCTTCTTCCAGGCCAATCAAATGCACAGTGTTATGCTGCACTGATTTTTGTGCATACTGGCTCTGCTTTTAAATGTGCTAGATTCTAACCTCCCCTTATGTTCAGGATGACCCGTTGACCTGAGGTGGATGCTTTCCATGTGGAAAGGAGGTGCTGGAGCTTCTACCCTGCTAGGCATCAGAATGGCTGGCACCTTCCTCTCCTGGCATGGGGGAAAGGCTGTAGTATGGAAGGGATGTGGTTTCTTTTAGGCATGTGAAGTAAGGTCAGCCTATCTCAAGAATGCCTGTCCTTCATGCTAACTGTTTTTCAAATGCCTTGGCCAGAGGCTCAGATCACATGTACACAGAAGATCTAGACAACTGGTACTTAGTGCTACTAGGAAGCCCTGTAATGAAATCTGCAACCTCTCTTGACCCGGTGCCCTCCAGGCTTCAGCTGCTATCAGCCAGCATGGCTAATGGTCAGGAATGCTGGGGACTGTGGCTCAGCAGTGTCTGGAGGGTACCACCTTAGGGAAAGCTTCTATAGCAAGTCCTGCAGGAAACTGTACAATGTAGCTACAACCTAACGTTTTCTAGTTATCATGCGTTCTCCAATTTAATGTAGAATTTTGCCCGTATGCCATACCTGCTGCACTGTAATCAGGTTTGTTCTTGCTCCCCAGAAACAGTTGATGGTGATCGGCATGGATGTGTATCATGACCCCAGCAGGGGGAGGCGCTCTGTGGTTGGCTTTGTGGCGAGCATCAATCAGTAAGCGCACTGTGTCTTGAGAACATTTGGAGGTTTTGGGCCCCTGATTATGTGGGTCTGTTTCTGATAGTGTTGAAGAATAACCGGGTTCTTCTTCATGGTCTCAGTGCATCACGCACATGGGCTCTGCACCTGTGTGGAACCTGTTGTTGGGAAGGTTTACCAGCACAGAGTCTTTTGCTGGAAACCCCACCCCAGCTTCTAGTACAGAAGAGGAGGAGTGCCTGCCCAAACCCTCAGTTCTTCTTTGACCAGCTCCATCAGTCCCTTGGGAAGTTTGTCTTTGAGTGTTTTTTCCTCCTCCTTCCTCTCTGTTTTCTTTAGAATAGAAACCCCTTTTTTCTCACTTTAGTCTTATGGTCTTCAACTGTCTCTGTTATTGTACCTGTTTTCCTACTCTCCACAAAAACTAAAAAAAGAAAACCTTTTCCCTGGTGCTATTCCAGCCCCACTTCTCTTTCTCTTGTATCAGATTGTCTCTGATTACCAATGGCACGGAAGGCAGCATTTTGCAAATATGTGGAATGTGCTAGCCAACATCTGTTGGCAGACAGGTTTGTAGACCATTACCCTATAATGTATGGCTTTTACCAAACAATACAGGAAGCACCACATGGACTGCCTCCACACAGATTTCTGGAGCAAGGCTCTCCAACCAGTCAACGTTTCCAAGCCTCCAGAGCCCATTGCAACCTCTACAATTTGAGTATGTCCTAATTGTTGATAGTGAGACTTGCTGTCTTAGTATCACTAACTTTTATTCTTTTTTTCCTGTTAAACAGCACTTTGACAAAATGGTACTCTAGGGTTGTCTTCCAGATGCCTCATCAAGAAATTGTAGACAGCCTCAAGGTTTGCCTGGTGGGTTCCTTGCAGAAGTTTCATGAGGTGAGGGAATGAGGGATTATTTTCAGGGAGGGACAAGGGCACAGAGAAAACTGACCAGCCAAGCAGTGTCATATCTTTCACTGAAAAGACAATTTCCTTTTGCACTGCAAAGATCCCAGTATTTGGCTTTCTGTGTAAAATGCACTCCACATCTCCCTGCTTATTTTCAACTGGTGGCCCAGAGGAGTGCACTTTCCTTACTGACAACTAGCAGGCACTTTTAGAAAAGTTGGCAGGGTATTGGAGGAGGAGGAGGAAGCACTCTCTTTCTAGTGCTAGTTCTTCTCCTACCTGTGCAGCCACTGGTCATGGGTTCTAGTCATGTTCTGAGCAGCTGGTTCTAACTGGTTTGTCCTCTGCTACAGACCAGGTGAAGAAAAGAGAGAATAGCTTTGCTGCCTGGGGATGGTGAACTGTTCTCTCTCTGTTAAAGCACTGTCTGTACTACTGGATGTTGATAGGTAAGGAGGAGGAAGAACTAGTTTACCTTTGAGTTCTCCTTCTGCTTGTTCACACATAGTTGTCCAGCCCCCCAAAAGATTTGTCTGGATAGCTTCCCTGTAGTTTCTTAAATTTCGCAGTAGGCAGTGGCAAGCTTTAGAGAGACAAACTCCAGACCAGTTTTTTCTTTTAAAAGAATCTGTCTCTGAATGGATAGAAAAAAGACCATCTCAGTATCTGAATCACAGTCTGGTGAACAAGCAAAATGCTCTGTAGGTAAGCTAATTCTCCATTAACTCTCACCCAATACACTACATTTTTTCTGTCCTCCATCCTCTTTTTTTTCCTGCTCAGAATTACATGTCCAGGGTCTGACTAGCTGAGCATGTCAGACTGGTGTTTGGAATCTATCAGCAGTTGAATTCATCCATTTTTGTTTAAGTTAGTGAGGGGTGTTACTTCAATCAGTTGCAAGTTTTGTGGTTGATGCATAGAGCCTAGTCTTGTTGCAGGAACTACCCAAGCTTTTGAGACATATGCAGTAATTTCAGGACACCCAGGAAGCAGTGTGGAGAGAAAAGGTAGCATATGCTAGACAGGAAGGGAACTTACAAAGATGTGACAATAGTGAAAGTTTTTCAGGTTGTAACACTAGTATGCCATCCTATAGCAACAGTATCTCAATTGCATACAGTAAACATAAAACAATTTAAATACAAAGAGAATATAAAACCACATCATCAAAAGCAAAGTAAAACAAAACTTGTTCCACCCCAAATCAAATATGCCCTTCTTGAAACTGAGAGGCCCTGACTCTTTACAACATTATTAACCATTTGAGCTACAATTTTCTTTCCATACACTGCTCACAGGTTCTTGTGACATTTTATGAGGTCAGCTGAGTTTGAGTATCTAGAATGAAATGTTGTGGCTGTGTTATTAAAGTGTGTATGTATGCATATGCACGCATGTGGAAATGATCTAGATTGCTCAGGGAAAATGCCCAGACCTCTTTTCCCATGTTATATACCCTGTTTATTTTCTTGAAGGTCAACCATTGCCTTCCTGAGAAAATAGTGGTTTACAGAGATGGAGTGTCAGATGGTCAGCTGAAAATTGTGGGGAGCTATGAAATCCCACAACTCGAAAAGTGCTTTGAGGCTTTTGAGAATTATGAGCCTAAAATGGTGGTGTTTGTGGTTCAGAAGAAAATCAGTGCCAACATCTATTCGGCAGCCACTGGTAACTTCACGACTCCTTTGCCGGGTACATTGATAGACCACACACTGACCAGCCGTGACTGGTGAGTAACAATTCACATAGGCTGCTTTACTTTTGCAGCCGAGGGATCTGAGACTTTGCATTGGCTTCCTTTCTCCTCTGCCCAAGCTGAACAAAAATCCATGTCAGAGTAAGTTTCAGTTGGCATAAATTCAATTTTTTCTGTGTCATCCGTCACCTTTTCTTATGTGAGCCTTCTTGGATAGAGAAACAATTTTGGGAACTGGAAGAGTGGGGTATTCACAGCTGGTTTGAGATGGCAAAAAAATGAGCTAACCAAGGTGCAGAAATTCCAAGCACAAAAACTCTAAGCTTGTGTAATCTGACACTCACACTTGTTTAAAATATTCATACCTTTAAAACTAGAACTGAAACCTAGGAAATGAAGTGACTCTGTATTCACTCATTGTTTCCCTCCATTCCTACGGATTAAAGCAGGTTGAAAGCAGTATGGTAGTAATGTTCTGCACTTCTGATATTGGGTCATGTAGGTGGCACTTTAGTATTGGCTTTGGTCCTGGAAGCCTTTAGTCTACACAGGACCCTTAGCGTTGGATCCAAAGAGTCTGTGGCAGCGCTCCTTTTGGAGCCCTCCTTCCTTTAGGCAGAGTGCCTGCTTTGACATCCTTTGTATTTTTAATGTATAGCTCATGCCACCTCTTTTCCATCAGGGAAGATCATTGCACCTTTGTTTTCTCGTGACAGCTTGCCTTTTGACAGCTGTCAAGGGACATCAAAGGGGGAAGGAACCTAACTGGAGTTTCTTTGGAACAATGTCCAGGGCTGAAACCAGCTGGAGCTTCAAATTCTTGTACTCCCACAACGGCAGCTAAAGATATTTGTCTAAAAAATTGTGTGCATTGTGTACAATTATTTTTAAAGATCGGACAACCCATCCAATGTGATACTTGGGCAATTTACATGGGCTGTCAGTGGCTGGCAAAATAGGGATCGCAAAAACTTGCTGCCGAGGTAGCTTTTGTAATCTCCGAAAAAATGCAGGGGGTAAAGTGCAGTTGACTTGCAGCAAGCTGAAACTGGCTTATGATCATTGTGGGGGGTGTCATGCCAGTTTGCCCCCAAATGTCACTCGAGTACTTGTGGAAGTGGCTGACAGGGATGAGTGCTGGGAGAGCTTGGCAAGAGCTGCTGGAGCCAGTCTAGCCCAGCAAACTGCTAGCTAATTCCCGGTAGCAACGATGGGGTTACTCACCTAGGTTCAGATAACATGGCAACCCATTGTGGGTGAAGCAACCTCTTGAACAAGCCTTGGGTTGTCAGGGTCGCTTGTTGCCATGGAGCTGCCACCATCAGCTTAATTACTCACAATAGCACCTTGGATGGGTTATCATCCAAACCTAGGTGACATAGTGTGGCTTGTTCAAACTGAAAACAGCCCTGAAATAATGCACAGTGCAATCAGTTGCATAACAATTGTTTCCCCATCGAGCAAGCCATGCCACTCAGATGGGTAATAGTACCTAGCACACACCACTGATTTAAACAAAGCATGGTTTCCTGTTGTATCATGGGAATGGTCAGAGTGAGAAATGCTTTAGATGTCCATGGCTTTATAATAGTTAGAACTCCTGGGGAAAGTGCTGACACTCTGCATACTTTTTGCATAGTAAGGAAAGCGGTAAACCAGCATTCATAATTTCCCAGAGCTTTCTAGAAGTTCCCAGCTGGTTAATGTACATTGCACAGGTGCCTTCTCACATGTATGATTCATAAAATGCGTAGTTGAAGGATAATAGTTGCAGGTTAGTGTCTCGGTTTCCAGTATTAGGAACCAAGGACCCCCTTCCCCCCCTTCTCTAAGTAAAATTAGTGTTAACTGCAGTTTTTAATCTCTCTTACACAGATTTTTTTAAAATAATTCTTAGGGTGGATTTTTACCTGATAGCTCACTCTGCCCGACAAGGCTGCGGTATCCCAACTCACTATATTTGTGTAAAGAATACAGCCAACCTCAGCCCTGATCACATGCAGAGGTAAGTGTATTTCATGTTTTATGTGAAACCATTGTTTTTAGGATATTGTCTTACGATGTTTAGGTTAGCTTGTAAAGCAACTTGAGCATGAGAATGGTGAGTATTTTTAAAAAAAATCAGAAGCAGTGTGTGTTATATCTTATCATTAAAAACATTGCATGACCTCTCTGTTGGTGGAATGGATTTCTGATGAGGATTTGCCATTTAGCTGATACCAAAAAGATAGTACATTTGGTGCCAGACGGACCTCAGTGGACAGCTTGTTTCATAACTGGGGGACCACCACTGAAAAGGCCCTTCTCCTATTGTCACCAATTGAGCTTCCTCGGAGGCGGCTGTCAGGGATAAATCCTAGAACTTGATGGTAGTGTCTGGGCAGATGAAGGTCAGGATGGGTGTTCTGTTCCCAAGCTGTGTACGGCTTTATAGGTCAAACTCAGCACCATGACATGGGCTCAGAAGGATAGAGGCAGCCAGTGCAAGTGGGCCAAAATTTGTATTATATGGTCAATTTGGCATGTTCTCCATGCAAAGCATAGTTCTACCAGTGAAGTGCACGAAAGTGGCACTTGAACAGTGCATGCTACAAACACTTTCCTTGCTTTGCTATTAATGCAGAATACATGGGCAAAGGAACAATGTTTTCATGGGATTCACTGTGACCATGAGCTTCTTTACTCCATGATAAAGCAGCTGGTGTTGCCCTGAACTGTTTGAGAACTAGGCAGCTCCAATGTCTCCAAAATCCTTTGAATAATAATTAGTGTTCTTTAATAGGGAGGTTGCAGCACATAATGTTTGTCTCTGTAAAATCAAAACCATATTTCTGGATCAGTGAACTGGAATCACCATTCCATAGTATTCCTCCTATCATGTACCAAGTTCACAGAATGGAATTTCTTCTGTCTACCAGGAACCAGGAGGAAACATCTCACCTTTATATATCTTACTTTTGCCCAGCTAGCTTGTTGATGGGAAGTGTTAATTGTTCATTTCCCCATGCCTATGTGCTGAAACATGCCATATTTCCAAGTGTGCAGGAAAATCTCCTCACTTAGATAATGGGTTATATCTGATCGGTGGATTTTTCCCCCCTGTTGGTTCCCTCTCCCTGAGACAAAGATAAAACATGGAGGTTAATTGTTTGGAATTTGTTACTAATATTTTGCCACCTTGGAATATCATGGCTATTCCTTGCTTTAAGATGGTTAGTTTTGAAATCTCTATTTTGAACCTTATGTAGTGTTAAGTATTTAGAAACTAAACTATTTTGTTTGTATGCTTGCTACTGATTTCTCTCTCATCCTTTAATCTTAATAAAGATTCTAAATTGGAAGCCTTGCGGGGAGGGGGGGCGTTGATTGCACACTTTCATAGCCCAAGGATCTGCCTTCTTTGTTAAAGCATGCAACATGGACAAATCATAGGCGATAAGAGATGTAACAGGCTTATTTTGCTCAGCACTGCCTGGGGAGTCTAGCTAGTAGCTGTGTCCTCCCAGGTAAAATTAATCTGCAACTCTTGGAAATTCCTCTTGTACCTTTAGAAATGGTGGGAGATTTAAGGAAATACAGTACATCCACAGGGCAGTGGGTGCATTTGCTCAGCGACTTCCAATTGAAGCTGTATTAGTTCAAAAACAAATTCTTTTGCACAGGTGCTCAACATAGTGCCTAAAACAGTACCTCTGATACAAAAATAAGATCTCTTTCTCTGTATGGCGGCTTGTCTTCATCTCCTGCCACAACTTTAAAAGCCCTTAATTTTCCTTTTCCCTGCATTCCCACCTAGTTCTTCATTGACTGGGTTTGTACAATACAACAGGGTATTATAGGTGACACACCTGGACAGCTTCTTGTTACATTCAGCAAAACTGGATAGATTCTTGCAGGGTGGCTTGTCTGAAGACTTAAGAACAGTGTCCCATCTAGTCCAGCATGAAATTCACACAGTGTCAAACCAGCTGCTAACAGGATCCCACTGGATATGAGTGCAACCCTGCCACCCATGTTCCCCAGTAACAGATGTACATAAGTTCACCACCTCCAATAATGAAGGTAGTGTAGAGCCATCAGGATTAGTAACCATTGATAACCTTCTCCTTCATGGAACTTGTCCATTTTCCTTTTAAAGGTGTCCCAATTGGTGGCCATGACTACATCTAACACATGTAATTTCCACAGTTCAAGTATGTACTTGTTCTGGGGCTTCTATGCCTAATTCGTTGCCCTGTCACCTGAACCCTTTAAAATGAGTATTCCGCACAGAACCAACCAGGTTCTTTGATGGGATATAGTAATTTGTTCATGCCCCTTCAGAAACAAAGTGCATAGCTGTCAAAATCCTGTTTCAAAAGGATGCCTGAATAGCTAGCTGTCAAAATGTCATGCTGCCATAAAATGGGTGGCTTACACATTTCCACCATCCTGGGCATCTAGAGTCTCAGAAAAGGGTCGAAAAAATGCAAGACTCTAACAGAGTTCAGCCAAGAAACTTTTAGGATCTTGCTGCAAAGGAAATGATCTACTACCAACCATCTTTCATGAACAAATATGAAATGATGATTAGATCACTTGCAGCTTTTCTTTCCTCTGGCAATCTCACTTCTTGACAGCTGTCAGAGGAAGGCAAAGCAAAAGACACTGACTTTGAGAAGCTTATGGGCTATGTTTGATGTCTCCTGTAGTTTGGCAACAAACATATCTCGGAATATTGCCTAAGCGAGGCTTCCTGTTTTGGACTAGCACAAGTGTATTCCTCTGCAGTTGCCCAAGTCTGATTAAAATTATATACAAAATATTTGTGCACATATGAAACCTAAATAATGACAAAATAGTTTCAGCTCATCTAGTGTGCCCCCTTGGCACTTCAGTGGGATTTTCACTAGCAATCAAATCAGATTGCAAAGAAAACACAGGCAAGGCGGAAGCCATGTTGAACAGAAAAGGGTTTATGGTTGGCAAGGAGAGAGGAAGCAAGATGATTCCTGCTGGAGCATCCCTTGGCATACCAGTGAGAGGACCTTTTGGGGTAAAGCAAACACGACAAGTCTGCTCATCGCTTACGTGTATTGTGGGCAGTCCTGAAGAACCAAAACTATAAGCTTATTTGCAGGGTCTGTTTTCCTGTTGTGTGAACCTGCTGAGTTGTTTCCTTTGTGTTGCTCTTCTCTCCCAGTTCTATTTTCTCCTTTATAGCTAGCATTCAACAATGTTATCTCTTCCCTTCCTTTTTTTCCTTGTGTTTCTTGTCACTAATTCAGATGAGAAGCCTGCAGGTGCAGGCCCTTGTGGTTTTTAACTAATGCACAGTATTTCAAACATATGAAGGCTTTATCAGAAGGGTTGTGATGATTCAAGGCCAAGAATCAATGGAGAAGATTCGCAGTATTCTCTATAGGGCAGGGAAGAGTATCCAGAGTATGAGACCAGGAATTCTAATCGGAATTTTTCTTCTTCTCCCATTCTCCCATCCTGGTTATTAATAGGCTGACTTTCAAGCTTTGCCACATGTACTGGAATTGGCCAGGAACTATCCGAGTACCAGCCCCCTGCAAGTATGCTCACAAGTTGGCCTTCCTTTCAGGGCAAATTCTGCACCATGAACCAGCAATTGAGCTCTGTGAGAAACTCTTCTTCCTGTAGCTCCTCCAGCCAGTCTTCAGGGCCATAAATGTGGGCTCCTCAATCCCTAGTTCTATCTACGTTTATTTTGGGATCACAAATTTACATATACTTCAGATTTCAACAGCTTGTAATGAAGAAGAAATTGTGACATCACTCGTCCATATTGTTGGCACCTTCTCAATCTGTGAAACTGAAAATTCCAGGCAGCAAGATTGTGTGTGCTCATTTGAATTGCCATTTTCTCTCTCCCCAGCCCTTATTCTGTCCAAATTCAGAATCAAACCAGACTAATTTTCAGTTTTACATGACAGTTAAATAATAGCATTACACCACAAGCACTAAATACCTTTTTCTTAGGATTATTCAAGGGGTTTTATGGTTATTGTTGGCACCTTCTCAATCTGTGAAACTGAAAATTCCAGGCAGCAAGATTGTGTGTGCTCATTTGAATTGCCATTTTCTCTCTCCCCAGCCCTTATTCTGTCCAAATTCAGAATCAAACCAGACTAATTTTCAGTTTTACATGACAGTTAAATAATAGCATTACACCACAAGCACTAAATACCTTTTTCTTAGGATTATTCAAGGGGTTTTATGGTTATGCACTTTTCGTTTTTGTACTATCATGTTCTTTAAAGCAAAGCCCTTTTATTTCTTGTTAAAAGTAGCAATTTCTGCTAGTTTGGAATAAACTTTTTTTCCTGTTGCTAAAATAATTTTACGGTGCGTTGTTACCTACTACATGGTCATTTAAAGATGGCATTTTCATCTTGTTCTTAAGCTCTGCAGATTGTGTGTTGAGCAAAGAGTGAAATACCTAAACTGAAGTATATTCTTTTAGCCAGATTTAATTTGCATTGCCAAAGACCCTGAATGTTCACATTCTCTTTGTGACAAGCATTGCCAGAGCAAGCCTTTGGTATTGATGCTTAATAAATTCTTAAGTAAGTACAAACTTGTATTGACTGCTTAGACTTTTCAGCAACTGGCAGATGCAGTTGTTACAGTAGAGGGCAAGAGAGTGCCAAAAATGTTGGGTAAGACGCTGTTTTAGTAACAAGCCTGTAGCATAACTAGACACATGTGTCTCTACTTACTGCCAGTCCAAAACTGTACACGCTGCTTTATAGCCGATAGGAGTCAAGATTTCAGTGGAAGAGGACACATGCTTTTTCCAAACATGGCACAGCTGATAGTTAAACCAAAGTGCTAACCTACGGTGTGGAATCTACCTACAGTGTGGAAGTTATATGGATGCAGGCTGTGTTGGTTGGTGCCATCCAGGAAAACAAGCAAGGTCTGCTGACTGTATAACCAGGAATGGCAGAGCAGCCCCCAGTGCTGTGGTGCAGGATTGTCCTGGGGAGTTAAGTCCTCTGCTGGGTTATGCCTTGCCAGTGTGATCCTTTTGCGCTTTAGTTGCTAAAAACGCGTCTGTAACCCTCTCTCCCAGGCACGCGCACACATCTATCTGGAGCAGAGAGCTCAACTAGAAAATGGCTTCCTTCCATCTTTAGAAGCAGCAGCAGGACTCTCTAAAGATTATATGGCCTGTGTGTCTCTATTGCACTCCTTATAAGCCATGCTTCTCTACAGTCTGGCGTTTGAGGAGCAGTTGGTTATCATTATTATTATTAATTATTATTAATTATATTTCTATACCACGCATAGCCAAAGCGCTCTGGGTGGTTCACAACATTGAAGTCCCCCATCCAGATTCCAACCAGGCCTGACCCTGCTTAGCTTCCAAGATGAGGCATGATCAGGCCCTTCAGGCTACATGGAAGCTTGATCTCTTGATCATGATCTCTTCCAGGAAAGGTGTACAGAGAATGGATTCGTAATTTCCCCAGTTACCCATTTATAAGTTTGCATTTGGTTGCCCTATCACTAGATAGATTCCTGGTGTTCCAACTGAAGCAGATGTCTCCCCTGCCTTTCTTTTTCTATCCCCTTTTCCCTGCAAGCAGTGGCGGCATTGCGCTTCCATGCTTTGACCTGGAATACACCCAGGCGCAATGTGGGTGCTTGCTTCCCAATTCTTCCCCCAGCCTCATTTGTCAGTTACAGCAGTAGGCAAAGGGACATGCAGACACTCCCTGAAAAATGTGGAAATTCTTCTGGCTTTCTTGGACATACCGCAAGGTGTATCATCTCAAAATCCCTTCAAACTTGGGTAACATCTAAGATTGTGGTTCTCCACCTGCACAGTCTGTGGTTTGTCTCATCAAAACTTCTTTGTTTGCCTTGTTTGAAATTCAACCTATGTTTAGTCAGAGCAGAAGCAGAAAGGTGACTGGAATATCCTTTGCAACTGAACAGTTTGTGTAGCTTAAGCTGGTAAAACAGCAGGCCTTGCACTTCTTAAAGAGGTGTCTGTCCTGTTTCACTGAGAGCTGGGTGAGAGTGGTTAACCATTTCCTTTCCTGACCCTTCTAGGAAACTGCAGGTGGAGGTGTTCTATGGTAGTCCCATATGCAATTTCTCACTATAAAAGCCCCCCACACAGCTGGATTTTGGTTGAAGGCAAATTTGATAAGGGTTTTGTGGAGTGGGCTTCGGTGGAGAGAAGAGAATATTCTGTTTTCTGGGTTCAACTATCTCTGTTGGACAGCTTCTTTAGTCTGTGATAGCTTCCTTAAAATACTTTACTGCGAAGGAACTCTTCCTTAGAATTGAAATTATATACTGCTGCAAACATCCATCTGCTTATTTGGGGATTTAGTTCTTTAGGTGTCATTTTAAAAGTGGCAAACTCCATCTGTTGAAAAGGCAGAAAAGTAGTGTGTCTTGCTTCCTAAAGGTGAAACATTAGGTCCAAAGGCTTTCCTGAACCAATAATTTATTCCTTCAGTTTCCTCAATACTGCTATCTAGAATTCTTTCCATTAATAGGTCAATGATTTACTTTTCTTTGACAACTTTAACTCCCGATATGCCACTGATAGTGCCTGATCCAGTTTTATTTCCTAATCTTGCTGCAACCTGTCTGGACTTTGTCCGGGTTTACGAAAACATAGTAAAGAGTGGGTGCCGAACTGTTAAGTACTTTTGGAGGGAAGTAGGAGATAGCTATGAAAATGTGGCGAAGCTGACATCCTCACTTAAGGGAAGGAAGTTTGGGTGCGTGGGAGGGGTTGAACAGCAATTTCCTTTTTTTTCTTGGAACAGAGAAAATGTGAGTCGGCCAAAGGTCCCTTGAGACCCCTCTAAGTGGTTCTGAAAATCTGATGTGGGCTGGTGGATTAACTGCCTTAGAGGAGCACCTGCTTATCTCTAGTTGTTGTTGTTGTTGTTGTTGTTGTTATTATAACATTTCTATGCCGCCCCTTGCCGAAACCTCGGGGCGGCTTACAACATGATAAAATACAATGAAATACAATAGCACATAATAAATTACCATTAAATACAAAATACAAAAAATACATTGATTTACAAATATAAGATTAAAATTATCAGTATAAATTAAGTCAATAAAAATATAGGAGGAGAAAGAGAAGGAAGAAGAAGTTGCCCTGGCCAGATCATATGTTTTAACAATTAAAATGATGTTTAAATAAAAAGGTCTTTACCTGGCGCCGAAAAACCAGTAACGACGGTGCCAGGCGGACCTCTTTGGGGAGTGAATTCCATAGGTTGGGTGCCACCGCAGAGAAAGCCCTCCTCCAAGTACTTACTCTCTTAATTTCTTTCACGGAGGGTTCCCGGAGGAGGGCCTCTCCCGCAGATCTCAAAGGGCGGTCGGGCATATACGGACGTAAGCGCTCGTTCAGGTAGCCAGGACCCAAGCCGTTTAGGGCTTTATAGGTCATAATCAACACCTTGAATTGGGCCCGGGCTTCAATGGGAAGCCAGTGAAGCTGACGGAGGACTGGAGTCATGTGAGCATAACGCCCCGTCCCCGTCAGCAACCTGGCAGCTCTATTTTGCACCAATTGAAGTGTTCGGACTGTCTTCAGGGGAAGCCCCACGTAAAGCGCGTTACAGAAGTCTAGGAGGGAAGTCACCAGCGCGTGTGTCACCGTCACCAGGCAGTCGTACTCCAGGTAGGGGCGCAGCTGATTAATCAGCCGAAGCTGAAGGAAGGCGTTCCTCGCCACCGCTGTCACCTGAGCTTCCAAAGAAAGCTCCGGGTCGAGGAGTACTCCTAAGCTGCGGACCTTATCCCTAAGAGGGAGTGTTGCACCATTCAGGACCAGGTCAAATCCACCCTCTCCGAAACCCTATCCGCCGACCAACAGGACCTCCGTCTTGTCTGGGTTGAGTTTCAGTTTATTTGCCCTCATCCATTCCCTTACCTCGGCCAAGCACCGGTTCAGCACAGCCACTGCCTCACCTGGATTAGTGGAAAACGAGAGGTAAAGCTGGGTATCATCAGCGTATTGATGATTCCGCAGCCCACACCTCCTGATGACCTCTCCCAGCGGTTTCATATAGATGTTAAATAGCAGAGGGGATAGAATGGAGCCCTGCGGAACTCCATGGCATAGCTGCCATGGCGCAGAGCCATCGTCCCCAGCACCACCTTCTGGAATCGGCCATTGAGATAGGAGCGGAACCACCGCAAAGCGGTGCCTCCATCCCCCAATCCCGCAAGTCTATCCAGAAGGATACCATGGCCGATGGTATCGAAAGCCACTGAGAGGTCCAGAAGAACCAACAGGGACGCACTCCCCCTGTCCTCCTCCCTGCACAGGTCATCGTACAGGGCGACCAAATGATATGCTTGTTATGATATGCTTGTACATTTGTAAAGCAGATATTACAGAGTTGCCTTAAGCCTCCATTGCACGCTCATCCAAAAGTAATGAGACCCAACATTACTGCTTCTAAAGACGTGGAAGGAAGTTGGGGGCAACTAACATTGTTATGCTTAACACACATGGAAGGTCATATTGAAAGGAAGCTTTGGATGAAGTCCAAAGCCCTCACAAAGCTGGCTGAAATTAACAGAAGGTGCACAGGAGCATCACTGCTCATTTTGTGTGAAATTATGCAAGGGATCTTCCCGATAAATTATACCCTGTGTGTCACTTTATCTCCTATTGTGGTACCTTGATGTGTGAGAGCACTTTCTCCTTGTTTCAGTGGGTCGTAGCTGAGGATGCTTGCTTTTCAGGTACAAACATCTGGGTTGAATCCTTGCTACTGACCTGATGCATCATTTAACGGCTATGCAGAATAGATGGTATGCATGGTAGGCCAGTAGTGTGAAACAGCTTTGTATAATGACTGTACCTCAGATGACGTACTTCCAGTGCCTTTTTAACCTTGAGGGTTTTACCAAAAGCAATTGGACTTTCCTGGTATCTATAGTACAGTATACTGTAGAGTTGAGCTAATCTTTGTTAATTGCAGAGGGG